AATATTATGGGCATTCTTAAAAAATTTTAACTTGTTTTTAGCGCTTTTCTCAACGTAAAACGGATTCCGTAAAAAAACAACCCCAACAACAATGACCTTATCTTTCTTTTTAAAAGTATTGTGCATACATTTGTGTGAAACTATATAGTCTATTCTATGCTTTCAAGTGCATGTAAAAAGCTAATAAAGTCAAGAAAAATTTTCTTCAGAGACATAGATCTAGTAGTAGGCCCACTGGAACATTTTATAAACCGAGAAAATATGACCAGAAAATAACAAAATTATCTTATGATCTTCACTTGCACTTGCAATTTTTTTGACAAATTATAGTCTACCTCATTATTTTTTTTTCACATTTTTCTTCACTATTCATGACAACTGGCAAGTATTGTTTTCAGTTATTATCAAGGAAGTGGATAGGCGGACCACAGGGTCTATCTAGCCAAAAGGATAGGTGGACCCCGTAGTCTACCTAACAAAATGCTAGGTTTTAGGATGTGAACCCCGGAGCAAGCGTAGTGAAATAAGTACAGTGGAAACCATATATAACAGGCCCTGTAATAACAGGGATCCGGTTATAGCAGGGATTTTTAAAAAACCCGTTTTTTCCTACTCTTTGTCTCTTTTAAAAGTTATCGGCAATAACAGGGCCTCATCAGAGCCCAACCGGTTATAGCAGGGACAAAGGCTCGTTAACAATGTGTAAAAAGTAAGAGAGAGAGAGAGAGAGAGATAGAGAGAGAGAGAGAGAGAGAGAGAGAGAGGGAGGGAGAGAGAGAGAGAGAGAGAGAGAGAGAGAGAGAGAGAGAGAGAGAGAGAGAGAGAGAGAAGGGGGGGGGGTAACGTAGTGATGGAGCAAGCCCACACAAGCCATGCCACTGCAACTGCAAGCACACACAGCGTGTGAAGCGAGAGAGGACTGCGGTGTGCTGTAGACCTCGGTCTAACCTGAAACCTAGCAACACGCACGCGTAATGTGTCACCAACGATGACAAGCGCAAGAGAAAATGCCTTTCAATTGACAAAAAATTCGAAATAATCCAGGCTGTTGACAAAAAGCAAGCTCCACTGGCAGAGATTTGTCGTCAGTTCGACATTCCACAAGGGTCGATTCACATCATTATAAAGGATAGAGAGAAGATAGTGGCAGCATACTCCAATGGAAAGTTTGCTCTGGATCGAAAGAAGATGAGACTACCCGATGAAGATGCTGTGGACTAATCTCTTCTGATGTGGTTTAAAGAGGCGAGGAGAAAGTTGGTGCCAAAACCCCAGTTTGTGGGTACTTGTGGCAAGGGAAACTACCCCCGAATAATATGTGCAGCTGGATTAGTCCACAAATGCTTACTTTCCTTGCATTTCTGATGTAACAGGGATCGGATATAACACTATAACAGGACATTTTCTCTAATCCCACCATCCCTGTTATATCAGGTTTCCACTGTAGATTTAAGTTTAACTAAGGATCGGCGGACCCCGGGGTCAACATAGTGAAATAAGTAGATCTCAGTTTATTTTATAGTAGGATACAGGCGGAGCCCGTGGTCAACGTCGTGAAATTATAAGTAGATCTAGGTTTAATTAAGGATTGGTGGACCCCGGGGTCAACGTAGTGAAATCAGTAGATCTAGGTTTAATTAAGGATTGGTGGACCCTGGAGTCAACGTAGTGAAATAGGTAGGTTTAAGTTTAAGGTGGACCCCAGGGTCTACATAACGAAATATTAGTTAGGTTTTAGAATAGGTGGACCCTGCGGTCACCGTAGTAAAATAAGTAGGTTTAATCACGGTGTCCCGGGGGGTCCACCAATCCTTAATTAAACCTTCTTATTCCTCTACGGCTATGGTGACTCCGGGGTCCACCAATCCTTTTAAAATTAAACCTACTTATTTCACTACGGTGACCCCGGGGTCCACCAGTCCTAAAACCTAGTATCATATTTCGCTAGGTAGACCCCGGGATTCACCTTAAACCTGCTTATTTATCACTACGTTGACTCCGGGGTCCACCAATCCTTACTTAAACCAAACCTTATTTCACTACATGTACGTTGACTCCGTGGTCCACCAATCCTTACTTAAACCAAACCTTATTTCACTACGGTGACTCCGGGGTTCACATCCTAGAACCTAGTATTTCGCTATGCAGACCCCTGAGTCCACCTGTCCTCTACAGGACTATACTATTATTATTATCAATTTGCAATTGATTAGCATATTTTTTTGAAATATTGAATCAGAGACTCGCTGTCTAAAAAGTCCACTGCTAATGCTGTTCTTATCAAAGAAAATGGCACAATTTGATTTTATGACATGTTTAAAAAAAAGAGTTAAAAAATATCTAGGCATACCGCGCCTGTCACTTCTCTGGTGCGGGATGGAGAGGTCACAATGCTGTGATAGGATGGAGTGAATGTGTGACGTGCGCAAGCAGACGCAACGCACCACAGGGTGTGGTGGGGTGGGGGACAACACAGCGGGCAAGTTAGAGCAAGAGCCCCTTCTTTCTGATCGCCAAGGCCGACTTATCAGCATTGCTAGGGCTAGAGAAAGAAACCTGATTCAATTTTTGATCAAGTAAGACCTAGAGATCATGTTGAACAAATCATCATCAGAGGAATACAACAACAAAAAATACAAAAAGGAATAAACAGAACACCAAACTGATAGATCAGGCCTATTTTACTATTTCTCTTGAATTTATTACTGGATCCCTTGACCTTTTCAATTGACCAAAGTGTGCCAAAATGGTAGCCTAGCTTTTGCCCCTCCATGAAGGAAAAATCTGGCCCTCTTTCAAACCTTTGGGATTGAGCAAAATTTGGCGTATTGTGCTTTGTTCTAACAATATTCATTATGATTATGATTTATAAGTTGTACACTGAGACAAAACTGTACTAAATGAGAAAGGTGCACTATCATGAAAGTGGAACGAACTCAGTTGCCTGAAAAGGGTAGTTTGAGCATATGTGGCCTAAATAAGCTAAACCCCCCTTCCTTACCTTATTTAGGCCATATGTGGCCTAAATAAGCACTCCCTTTTCTAATGGAAACAAATTGAAAGATAGAGAAGTGAGGGACTGTTCACAAACGACGTCAGCTCAGAGGGGGCCCAGTTAAAAGTTGACAAAAGTTGACATGAAGTGAGGGGGGGGGGAGCGTCCTTACAAAGTTGACGTCATCCATGATGCTCTAGAAGTAAAAGGGGGAAAAAGAAAAGAAAAGAAAAGAAAGGAAGAAACAATATTATAGACCATATTATTTTCCTGGCCAAAAATTAACACAGTTATATAATAATATTGGACTATATTTTTTGGGGGGGGCATAAAAACTTGACAGTTCAGGAAGGCTTATTCCTTTGTTGTGTTCTTTAATAAACAATAGTTTATACATATTCAAAAAGAAAATAAAATAAAGATCAATGGGGTAAATATAACATGCATTATGTACAGGTTCTATCTAAATGTACATGTACATTTTGGTAGACGTTAACTGGGGTGGTTGGGGTGGGGGGTGTTCCTGGGAAAGACAACAAGATGACAGAGGGAGGGGGGTTCATTTTTGGCAAAATTTTAGCTGACGTCATTTGTGAACGGTCCCAAAGCAGGGTGACCCGAAGAAAAAAGGACGAAGAACACATGTTAGATATAAGAGATGATACATAACGTAATGATCTGCTTGTTGGTCCACTTTCTAGTCCTCTTCAGTTCATGCAGTCTTTGCTTCGTTTTTTCTCCTCCATCTTTATTCTTCATTCGTGCCTCGTCAGTGCAAAATTACCTTGTTTTAATACAGTACAACACAGATAGCTCGAATTCGTCGGCACCGGCCTCGGCAGTTCAAGGGATCCGTAGTTTGAAGGATTTCTTACAAAGATCATAAAGAGAAAAAAACCCGGGAGAGCAGGCACAGTGCGACAGATGAGCGATTTCGAGTCTTCTGTGTTCGACCTATCCGTGTTATACTGTACATGTATTACTTTTCTCTATCACATAACTCAAACATCATTGAATTAACCTGGATCAAACTCAAACAAATATTTATCAAGCTCCACAGAGTGCTTACCGGGGACAAATACAAAGACATACCAAGAGCTACACTCAAAACAGAAATAAACATTTTCACAACACAACCTCTGACTGACTTTAGAGACTTGAAAATCATTACACATCACTCACACACAGGAAATTCTCAGAAAGCAAACACATCAGAGCACCTTCAATTTTATTCTTCATAAAAATATTGTACAACTTTTTACACGTGGGAAAAAAACAACAACCCAGAAGTTCCAAGATGTTTTTAAGAATCAAAGCCAATTAATATTATAATATTAATATGTTATCCATTTTCAGAACAAGAAAAGGGTCACAAAGTATTTCCATAATTTAACAAATTTCAACTTAGTAAACTTTGCACAAATGTAAACATATCATATATTTATATAAACATAGTGTACTGAGGGGATGGGGCAAGGGGAGAGGGGGGATGAGAGGGGCATGCAACTCGGAGCCAGACAATCTTAAAATTTTTTAATTTTTATATTTCGTTGGTTTGTAGAATCACTATTGACATTGACTCCACTGATATCAAAGAAACAGTGCTGTGAGAAAAGCCTTTTTATCCCCAAGACCCTGCATGTACACAAGAAGCTATTTTATTACTGTTTTTTACTAGAAAGGAGAAGGTAATGCCTGTAAACCTTTCATTCGATTAAAGCTCATGATGGGATCTCATAACATAATCCATTTAGCTAGGATATTCACAAAGTTTGCAGGTTGGTGATTAGAGATCTGAGAATATTTTATCTTAGCAAGAGTTTTACAGCCCATACAACAAAAATGGGTCAGATGAGTTCGGAAGTTTAGAGGTATTACTAAAGAGTAACATAAAAAGAAAAGAAGGAGAGATGAGGATGATAGATATTAGATAGAAAGAATGAGCAAACCACACCAGAGCAGCTCCCAACCACCCATTTTATGTCTTTATACACAAATAAATACAATGTACTACAGTTACATGTATCACAGATAAAAAAAATATAACATAAACATATTATTTCTTTAAAAGCGTTTACTGAAAAGGAGGTTTAACCTTTAGAAATATGATGAAAAATTTGATTTTCATTAAAGAAAAATGTGGTAGAGTCCGCTTAAATCAAAATCTGAGAGAACTGCTACATGACTACATGTCCTTCAGTTTTGCAGGGTTTTTGGTTTAAAGAGGCGGTTCATCAAATATATATTTTTTTAATCTGTGATTATATTTTCTTTCGCTTTACCGCTTTTTAAAAAATTAACTGTGTTCGTTTTAAACCGACTGCACTGTATAATGAAAAATCTGTTTCTCCTTAATTAAGAAAAATATTTATATTGCAAAGACCAAATTCAAGTGTAGATACAGCTAATGAAATGAAGGATAAAAATGGACAGAGGCAATCATAATAACCAAATTCGAGGGCAGTGAGGACAGATGAAATGATGCAGACAAACGGACATAGATATTCCCCCCCACCTAAGACAACTCGAAAGAGACATTCTACCACCTCACACAACTGGTTAGAGACATTCTCCCGCCTCAAACAACTGACAAGGACATTTTCCCACCCTACACAACTGATAGAAACATTTTCCCACTCCACACAACTGATAGAGACACTCTCCTACCTCACACAACTGACAGAAACATTCTCCCACCTCACACAACTGATAGAGAAACAGACGGACCCAGCACCTTCACCACCGCCTCCTCACCCCACACAGAAGTCCACATACCATGGATACTCTCCACCTCCACTTTCCCCAGACCACGACAAGTGAAAACAAATTTACGGAGGGGACGAGCGCTTCTCATCTTCTCCTTGAAAGCAGCTAAGAATTCTGAGCTTAACGGTGCAGTGATGGAACAGCCCCGAGCCGTCAGCTCTTCCATACCACTTCCTCTGTACGCACTGAGGTAGAGCAACTTCTGCAGGCTGGAGCAGGTCACCTGTTGGTTCTGAGAAATGCTCAGCTTTTGCAGGCTGGACACCTCAGCCACTAGCCTGGGGAGGAGACAGACCCAGAAACCATTATTTGTTTATAGTTTGAGTTGGAGTAAGAGTTTTGTGGTAGGCCTACTTGCAAACACAAATAGTTCTTAATTTGGTTTTAGTAAGAATTTTACACCACTTGCATCACAAATAGGACACATGAGTGCAGAAGATGACAAGAATAACTAGTAGACAGTATCATACAAACAAAAGAAAGAAATATAAGGACAATAGATTTTTTTCATAGGAAAGAAGGAGCAAACCACACCAGAGCACCCACCAACCACCCACCCTTGTTTGTTTGCATCAAGAAGCAGAATATCCTCATGATAATAGTCATATAATGCAGAAAAAAAAGTCATGACACACAGACAGAAAAATGCAGAGAGACAAAAAAAACCAGGATCAACAACTGTGCACTCAAATCCCTAGCATTATCTCAAAATCTGTTGTGATCACATGTGCACATACATGATTTATGCATTCCATGGAGAGCTGAAAAAAATCTAGATCAGAGAGGGAGGTGGAAAAATGTTTAAAAACTATTTTTGTCTACAAAGAATTAATTAAGTATATGCTATCATCAGCAACACGGCAATGATTTAAGGTTTTCTTGAAAATCTGTTATATTCCAGCAAGAAAAAGATATTTTTAAAAAACGAATTGAAAAAAAATTTCATCAAAAGTGGCCCGAAAATAGAGGCACCAGCCTGTAGTACCTGTTCAGGAACAGCACATCATTAGCAACGAGATGGCAGCCGGACAAGTTTAGTTCGGTGAGGCTACACTTTTCATCTGAGGCGATAAAGGTCTGTAACTTTTCAGAAAGTTCAGCGGTGGACTCTGACCTTGTGTGTGAGAGGTCAAGGGCAAGCAAGGAGTCAGCATGCAAGTTGGACAAAAGCAGTGCAATTCCCTCATCACAAATCTGGTTCTCAGCAAAGATCAGTCGCTTTAGGGAACGTCCTGTTCAGGATAGAACGAAATCAGGCAGGCCTTAGGAAACCTTCAAATCTTGCATTTCGATTTCAACATTCAATTTCATATTCCCACAAAACATTTTTTCAGTTCCTCTTCCCTTATTACACTCTAAATCTCTTAATGTCACTTTCCCTGTGCAGTGCGCTGTGCTCATTTGAATCAACAACAAACAACACATAAAACTCCTCTTACGGTTCGAACGTTGGACAAACAATAAAATGAAATTCCCTCGGAGTCAAAAAGAAATGAAAAAGCTGTATGTCATTTAATGGCTTTGGGTAGAAAGTGGGTTTTTTTTTACGGGTTATACTAATTCTAGAAAAGCACCATGTTTTCCTTTCTTTCTGACTTTATCTTCTTATAGAATTTTTTTTTTATATTAAGTGCCCAAATCTCTTTCACATTTCAGGAAATATTTAATGTACAATCGAACCTGCCCTGGCGACCACCTCTATAAGACGGCCACCTGTACAAACGGACACTTTCCATTTCCCCCCTTGCGTTTTTTAAATATAATTTAACTGTGTAAAACGGGCACCTGTCCAACGCAGCCGCGGCCACCATATTTTAACACACAACCCCTATCACACTAAGCAATAACACCTGTCTTAGACGGCCACCTTAGTGAATTCAGTAAGTTTTGTCATAAATTGTGCACTGGCCCCTGGCGTTGTGGGGCAAGCCGTCATAATCCAATCACCTGTCATTGTTGTTAGGTAGTCCCTCCGACCAATCATGTTGCGTAGGCCCCTCCCACTGTTGACCAATAGGTACCAAGTTTCAGCTGCTGGTGAGGTAAGCATGTGATCCCTCATAACCCATATAAGCCCCGCCCAGAACTCATACACAAATCGTACGTGAGATGAGTGGTCACTGTTTACCCAGTCCGTAACAAAGTAACAATGGATGTCAACATGAACTTGCGACAGAAGCGTCGCTCATTCTCTGAGTTGTGGAGACCCATGTGTTTGCTTTAACATGGCACTCGGTCTTCGGCGTCTGACACATTTCGTTTTATTGTCACCCTTGCGCAAAATCAGCATCAAAATAAAAATAACAAACAAAATACAAACCAACAACAACAAAAACAACAACAATGTGGCCACTTTCGATTGGGACTTCAGATGGGAATATTTTGTTTTCTCTATCTTGATCAGTCCTGCCTAAGACGGCCACCTGTCTTATACGGCCACTTTTCTCCTTGACAATGGGTGGCCGTCTTACACAGGTTTGACTGTATTTGGACTATAAAACGTGGATGTTCCCAGTTTAGGAGAATGCATCATTCATCCAGTGCCAGATCTGCGACAGACATCGGCGATCATGATTTTCCATTCATTCCTTTGCTCGGATGCTCTCAGAAAAGCTACGTTTCCCTGATTTTTCCCTGTTACCCATTTGTTTAGGTTCCCTAAGTATGTTGTTCTGGGCCTACCCCTGCCTCGCTTGCCCTCAATTTTGCCAGTGAGAGCTAGATGTTCAAGACCCTTATGTCTATTCAGGTGTCCCAAAAACTGCATTTGTCGTTTCCTGATTGTTTTTAACATTGAGCGTCCCACGTGGGCTTCATCAAGCACTACCTCATTTGATTTCTTTTCCTTCCACGATACTCTTAGCAGTCTCCTAAGAAACCACATTTCTGTTGCCTCTATTTTATTTTCACTGTCTTTAGTGATTGTCCAGCATTCACAGCCATATAGAAGGGTTGACCAAACATAGCATTTCAGGACTTTCATTTTGGTGTTCATTGAGATGTTTCTATTTTTCAGGATTGGGCTCATTTTATTAAAACTAGTCTTAGTCATTGCAGTTCTCCTTTTTATTTCTGCGGAGGATTTGGCATCAGATGTTATCATATATCCTAAATATTTAAACTGTTGGACTTGTTTGATCTTTTCACCTTTGCTAATGAGATTACAACTAGGATTTGCTGCTTTTTTGGATATTACCATGCATTCTGTTTTCTTTACATTCAACAATAATCCTTTATGTTCACTTTCTTTTACAACAGTATCTAGAAGCGTTTGAAGGTCCTTTTCGGAGAATGCATCAAATTAGAGAAAACAAGACAGTGAATTTGAGAGTATGAACAAATTTGACTACTTCAACATTCACATCTTCCAAATATAAAACTCTTTCTCCACCACCAGAACATTTTCATTCATGATCTAAGGTTATACATTTTTTTTCATACAATGCTGCATGCATTTTCATGCTTTAAAACCTGAAGATCTCCATATGATGAAATAAAAGAAATTAAACACACATTCATGAGAAAGAAATAGATCAGTTACCATGGCCATGACAAATACAAATACCAAGAGGTCAGCGTGAGCAAACAAAAAGAAATGTTGACTTCGAAACTACAACCATCTTGACACTACTAAAAGAAAAACATGTAAAAACCAGGAGAATCCCTTTTCCTGACATGTGTTTACGTGAAGTTTGAGTATCTATGTGTCAAATTCATCATCAAATCTAGATTTGGTCACATACAACTATACAGTCCAGTACGTACATAGGGATCCCGCACAAAGTGAAACATACACATAGGGAACAGATTTTCAGGTCATGATTTTTTTCTTATACAAGTATATATTCTTTGTAGTTAAATCACGTACATAGTGAAATTCATACATAAAAAAATAATTTCCGCATCGCGCTGATTTTGTTAGGTGCATGCTAGACAGTACAATACTTTTACAAATGTGAAACATAACTCCCCCTGTTAGTATTTAAGTTATACTGATATTAGATACAGTACCTCTAAGGGCGTCACAGAAGCTGGGAGTAAAAACTTTGGCCGAGAGACTGCACGCGGCCACACTGAAGTCTGTGAGAGAGATGAGATCTCTGAGAATGTTGGTCAGCCACTCAGCTGCTGAGTCTCCCAGGCAGTTGTGGCTCAAGTTGAGATGTTGAAGACTCTGCAGGCAGCCATTCTTTAGAGCTTTTGAGAGAGTGCATAATCCTTTTGATGAAAAGCCATTTGTCTCCAGGTTTAATGATTTGAGGTTGGGCATATCTTGGAGAAGTTCCGTGAGGGGAACAAGGCCCGCATCTCCCAGACGGTTTCCGGCCAGGCTTAGGTTAGTGAGAGTTGTTTGCCCTTCTAAAGCACGGTAGACTGGCTGAAGCTGCTGTTGACCAAGGCCAAGGTCACTGAGGGAGAGCTGACCACTTGCTTCACAGTCGTGGAGACGCACAGACACGCTGTGGTTGGCCTCTGTGCAGAACATCTGACAGGCCTTCGCGTAGCGCTCTTCCAGCTGTGGCCGCTCCCACAGAGTGACCGTTGCCTTGAGGTGGTCATTGTCAGCCACTACCGAAGATATGGGGTCTACAGGGCACAGTAAAATACCATCAGAAGTGCTGAGAGCAAGAGCTGGACGCTGTAGATACATGCTGAAGTAACGCTCACCCACTTCACGAGCGAGCCAGGAGATGTTCTTATCACTGTCCGAAGCCTGCAGCGGAATGAGGAGCGTCTTATCTTCCACCTGTACCTTGAACCTCAGCACAGGTCTCGCTACAGGATCGCTTCTCCTCTCAGGCGTGACCTCCTTCGCCATTGCTGGAGACATCCTCTGTGTATAAAGAGTGTCCTGTCTGGGCTGGCCACAACTCCTCTCACTGTTGTGCTTCCAGCTAGCATGTGTATCTCCATCCTCATTTCTAATACTACTAAAAGAATGCCTACGATCAATGTGTGAATTTTCCCTATTGGATGACTTTTGAACCAAATGACTCTCAGTGAAACGAACAGAGGAATTTTCAGTGCTGGTATGTTGGGAGACAGGGATGCGAATGGAAGGTTCATTTGTCACAGTGATGTCAGAGGGTCTATTTGCTTCAGGTAGCGTGCTCACATCTGACTGGCTGGCTGAAAGTGAGTAGTCAAAAACCGGATCAATCTCACACAAGATGTCATCATCCGAGTCCCAGACATAATTCTCCTTCTCATCTTGAATGTTGTACTGCTCAGTGTGCTCTGGCTCTAATGTTTCCTCTTCCTCCAGTGGGATCCCCGACGACGATACGACGTCACTGCTGCGACTGTTTCCATCAAGGGAGCCCTCTTCATCGCTGTCAACAAATGATGGCCTCCTCCTTCCTTCTCTTCCATCAGATTTGGCTTTTTGCCGCCTTCTCACAAGCTCTGAAAATTTGGAGGCTTTATCAGTCACTTTACGCCTCTTAGTGTAGCCAGCCACGGTGGCTCTAGTTGAGGTAGTTGTCAAGATTTCTTTCACGGCAGTCGATTTCCGCTTCAGTTTCGGGGCTTTGAGATCTTCGATCAACCAATCATCTCCAACCTCATCCTCGGCTAACAAGGCCGTCCGTTTTGTCTGAGCATTTGAAGAAGAGTCACTTTTCTTGTCAGTTTGAGTAAAGTCAGCCTCTAATCGCTTGGGGGCAGAACTGGCGATGGCACAGATGGCCGAACGGTAGGCTTCGGTCGGGTTGGTAGAAGGATCATCTTGAGCAGGGGAGAGTGGAAAGATAAAATCTCCATCGTCAGAGAAGTCTTCCATCTGAACAGTTTCATCCTCAATTGGATTTTTTCTCTTTGTTGATGCCACTGGTCTGTTAAAGAAAAATACAAGATATAAGATAAACAATTATAATGTCCAGGTAAAAGCAGAGATGACAACAATTCAACCCCCCCCCAATCCCATCCCGTCTTACTCAATCTTTAGACATAGGCACAGTATAATGAAGTGGAAACATTTCAGCAGAAAACTACTCAAAACAGAAAAAAAGACACATCACTAGCTAAATTTTCTGAAAACAACACATAATAATGATCAAATAGATGAGAAACAACAATTTCAAAATCAAAATATGATTTTGTAATCTTTATCCCTGGTCCCTGAGCATAAAATAAATTTGGTTACAATTTTTTTGGCAGGGGAAAAAATTTTCCCAAAATGAAATTTAAAAATGGAGGTTTTAAAACCTCAAAATACAGAGAGAAAAAACATACAGGCAAAAAAAAGGTTATATTCAATAGACTTTTAATAAATTTCCCAGTAGAAAGAGCACAAACTTTCCTGCGAAATGTTATATGTAAGATTAAATGATGAAACTTATAACCCCCTCCGCAAGCACTGTCTTTAGGTAAGATGCCCCATCCTCCAACCACCCTTTACTTAATTCAGAGAGAAAATGAGCCTCAAAGCAATGAGTATAAATGGCATTAACAAAGGAAACAACATTAAAAAAACATCAGGAGCTCACTTTTTCCTTGAAAGCGTCTTTTTTGGAGGAGACCTCAACAATGCCACATCTTCCTCAGAGCTGTCGGTGTCCTCAAGATCTGGCAGACGAAAACTCTTTGGTTTTGTTCTCATTCCTGATGTGGTGGGCTTCGAACCAACATGTACCTTCTTAGACAAATTGTGCTCTTCGTTCACACTGTGAGCTGTGAACCCACTTGTCGGAGTCCCTGAGCTATCCTGTTCCGAACGTCCTGAAGAACATAATACATGTCGTCAATTAAATAATTTATGCCCATAACTTGTCTCATTTTTAAAGTTATAGGGAAAAGGCAGTCTGTCTGAAACTCAGTCCCAACATGACCTCAGTGGATATTATGTTGGATTATGAGGCAAATGGCTAGTTTTAATTCCCAGCAGGGAGTATTTTAACTTACATAGTCTGGGAAGTTTTAAAGATTCTCAGTCCCCTTGGCAAGGTTTTATCTGAGAAAGACATGAAATTTGTAAGTCCTATCTCATTTATAACAATCATGTTTATATAGCAGCATTAAACCCATATCAAACATAGTACTTCAGAACAAGACACGTCCATTCCCATCACTATTAATCCAAGGTCATGACAAAAAACACGTAGGTGTTTATGGAGATGACTTCATGGCACTGAAATCCTTTCTTAAAGACATCCATCCCTGCTCAAAGATCATATGTGGTACCTCATTTCGGATTCCTCTAAATAATCTAATTCTGTCTCTAGAAGCGTGGTGTCCCAGTCCAGTTGTTAACCCTATCAAAACGCCCTGGGGTCATTTTGTACCCCCGCGGTTGTATTCTTCACATTTGAGAAAACTTCTAGTACAAACGTCTCTTGGAAATTTTCAGTATTTCTCAAAAAACAATTTTGACAGACTGCTATGCAAAGCGTATGGATCGTATTAACGAGTAAATTTCCTCTTTGGAAAGTGGTGGTACAGAATTCCCCACGTCGTATCCATACGATAGTAAAACACTTCAGACGAAAAGGATTAAGACATTAGACTCACTATCAGTGACAATGATTTTAATCTATCTGACACATGTCAACATCAATCGCTGTAATTCCCAAAATGGACTGAGAAAAATAATTGGGAACAAACTAGTTAGCCAGAGGAGTCCACAGGATAGGAAATGGGGCCAAACTATCATGTTCAAATAGCTTCAGATGAAGCAAATGGCTAGTATTTCAACTTACATAGTTAGGGAAGTTTTAAAGATTCTCAATCTCCTTGGCAAGGTTTTATCTGGCATGACACTAGATTTCAACAAAAATATACAATTTATTTGCTTATTTCAGCTCCCAAATTCCTCTTTGATATACAGTCGAACCTGTGTAAGGCAGAATCGCAAGGGAAAAAAATTCCATCTTAGACATTTTTCGTCTTAGACAGGGGAATTTAGGGGGAGATGGAAGGGGGGGGGGTTCAAAGTCCCAACCCGTGGGATCAAGGATCGCTTGTCTGATCGGCAAGCAGTGGTCAAAACTTCACACTTCTCAATTGTTATCCTGTCTGATAATGACATGCGTCAGTCTTACTTATCCAATTACCACCAGTGCTTGCTTTTCATAGGACACTGTTTGACCTATTAAAAACAGAAACATTTGAACATCTTTGCTTCCACCCTTAGCCCCACCCCTCACTGCCATCAATGTAAAAACGATTCGAGGAACTCATTTCTCGGCTGGCCATACGATCAGGGCGGCAGGCATTGGTCAATCTAATTTCACACCTCTGGCTTCTGGCTACCGAGGAAAGTTTCCGAGGTGGCTGGCTACTCGAGCACTCTCACGGGCAGTCGTGAGATTTCACATAAACACTAAACTGATCATCTGCATCGCTCAGGGCTCACATGATATGGTAACATCTACCCCCAAATTGCACCTCTTCTCCCTTTCCTCGCCCAGCGGCATGGCCATACCATTAAGTTTAGAGCCGGCAGAACCAAACTTGCGAGATTTGTTTCAAATCAGGGCTGAGCGGGCAAAGCATTATCTGTCTTAGGCAGGTGAAACCCTCGGAAGGGAGTGGATTTTTTTTTCCGTTTCCGCGTTGGACAGGTTTCCGTTTTACACAGGTAATTAAAGAGGAATATATCAAGGGGGGAGCGGGGAGAGTCCGTTAAGACAGGTTTCCGTTTTATAAAGGTTTCCGTTTAGGCAGGTTCGACTGTACTACTGTTGGGACAGATTCAGAATTTCTTACAAATAGCAAGTAAATTGGAACTCGGATTCAACGAGGTCGCCGGGCCTGACCTAAAATCTAGTAGAATCCATGTGTTCGTAATAGCAAACATGAGGTTTTGAGTTGATCTAGATAAATACAGGCACTGAGCAAGTAATGTGTAAAGAAAGGTAACAAGTACACTCTGGTGCCTGAAATGCCTGCACATTATGAGCTGTGTTAAAAAAAAAGACAGATTCATTCAAATGCACGCTTGTGTCATCTCGATTGTTTCCAAAAAGTTGTGTTGCTGTGTAGAGCCTAGCATACGGTAATTTTTGATTCCATAGACCAGCGCACAATTCATTATGTAGATCTACGTCAAGACTAGCATATCAATCATTGTAATAATGATCAGTTGCCAGGGTGGGAAAAAGACTGACGCATTTGTATCTGTGACATTCAACGCCCGGACCACTGGCGCCCCTCCCTCCCCGACACGCACACACAGTCACACGTGTGCAGGCCGTCCATCAGACCCCGACACACATCAGAGTAGACATGTACGCGTGCCAATAACGTATGTGTTGATATGAAAAAAGGCCGCTGATTGGTCGCATGCAATCGGCTAAGTGAATAATAGTTCACGATGCAGGTGCAATGGATGGTTTCCGGGAATAGATAAAGTTCGTTCTGGGAGAAAAATGAGCAAAGCCACGTCTGCAGGGGCTGTTCACCATGGAAGCGACCTCGTTGAATCCGAGCTTGCTGATTTAAGTGCTAGTTGAATCTGGGTCATTTTTATTTATTTTAAAGAAGAAAAAAAAAGGGGGAATCTATCTCCTCTTGTTGAAGGAAAAAATACAACATTAATGTTATTAAGGTCAAGAAGTGATAACTGTCATTTACCCATTTTGCGAAGCAACAAGGCTTGAACACGCTGATATTCCAGAGTATCTGCTGCACTGAGCACATCATCCGTCGCACCGTGCCAGCTACGAAGTCTGTCAAGTGCTGTGTTGCCCTGGTGAAACATGGCCAAAAGTGTGTAAAGAAAGGTACAAAACAAAGCAAAATTTTCACAGTCATTCTTTTCACAACAGTTCCTTTTTAGAAACTAGTCTGAGCTATCCACTTGACCCTGTTCTAGATCGAGGCCTTCTTTGAAAAAAGAACACAAGAAGCACAAAGAACTAGGAATGAGGGGACGACATAGGATTTAGATGAAGTGTAGAAACTACGTACAACATTGGTAATTATTTTAGTTTAGTTTAAATTTTGTTTAATGTAGGTGTTTTTATGCCCCCCAGCGGACACAATTTAGATCATTTAGGAGGCGGGCTTAGATGAAAGATGGTACGTTTATAGTCTTTAATTTAAGTATAGAAAAGCATAAAGAACAAAGTCAACACATACATGATCATCTTTAGCGAGCACATTGGCACCCCTGTCCACAAGCAGGGAGACCACATCAAAGTTCCCACAGTTTGCAGCATCCATCAGAGGTGTGAGTCCCTCGCAGTCGACGTCACCACGGTCGTTCATCCAAGCTCCACAGTCCAAAAGGTACTCAACTATATCCCTGTAACCATAGTTACAGGCTTCATGCAAAGGTAGCCAGCCACAGTAGTCACGTGGGTTCACAGGGTGGCCCTAAGAGTAGAAAAACAAAAAAATTTGGCTTAGTTTTAGTAACAGTGTTAAGGCACTTGCAACATAAATAGGTCATAAAAATGCCACAAATTAAAGATGTTCCTAGAGAGTAACATACAAAGAAAGAAGGAGGAGTGATAAGGACGATAGATGTTGGATAGGAAAGGAGCAAACCACCCAAGAGCACCATTTTTCTAGGAGAAAGTGGGAGTGTGGAGGTGAGTGAAAGGGATGAATGAAGACAAGACAAGAACTGAAGAGATCATTTATGTCATTATGGACAGTAGGCACTTCAGACTCAAGACAAAAACAATAACAAATTTCTCTTAGGTTTAGATCACATCCATTGTTATTGGTAGTGCTTAGTCAGTCATCCAAGGCCAGCTAGCAATTTATAAAATAACAATCACTGGGACATAACACAGAAAGCAAATCGAAACCCAGAAAAATATTTTGAGTAAGGGACAAGAGATTTACAGATGGCAAGGCAGAAATTTTGTCACAGATCTAGTTAACCCTATCCATACACCCTGGGGTTTTTTGTACCCCCGGGGTTGTATTCTTCACATTTTAGAATACTTCTAGAACAAAGATCTCTTTGAAACTTTCAGTATTTCTCAAAAATCATTTTGACAGACTGCTATGCAAAGCGTACAGATTGAATTAATGAGTAAATTTCCTCTTAGAAAGTGGTGGTACAGAGTTCCCCACCTCGTATGGATACGATAGTAAAACACGATGTGTGGATAGGGATAATGCAGAAATTACAGAAAACAGTCATCTTCCTTTCAATAGAATTTAAAAAAACAGGACCCTCTCACATAAATGTTCATTCCTTTTTTTGAAAATGTACTTATCTTGTCACAACACACTCACATAAATAAAATGAAAGAAAAGATTACTTTTCAGCCGAGGTGAGGCAATACATTACCTGTGAAATTAGGGTCTTGACTTTCTTCAAGTTTCCAGCGATGCATGCACGATGTAGCGGAGTTTCACCTTTCTCATTTTTCTGAAGAGTGATGTAACATTGTAACATAAAATATCATTACTGAGATTGATTTAAATGTCATCATCAACATGATGTTGCATAATGTTCTCATTTAATAATTTAATTTTTTTTTTATACCTGCATGTGTTTTTACGGTCCTGAACAGCCACGAAAAATTTCCCTCTGGGATAATAAAGTATTATCTTATCTTATCTTATCTTACATCTTATCTTAAAGAAACTTTAAAGGTTTGCATTCACAAAGTATTAGATTTTTTCTCACCATTCACATAAGCATTGCATTACATTTTTTTCTCACCATGGTATTCTTATTCTTAAATCTACAGAAGCACATAAAATATGAAAAAAGAAAGCATATTAACTGAATATTATCAAACTGGAAAAGAAACAATTTCACTGAAATCTTAAAACACCAAACCCAAAGCTTCAAGTCATCCACATCTGAGGTAAAAGAAAACAGTTCTTTAAAAAAAAACACTTTTTGTCTGTAAAATAATTCTCACATCAAAATGATATTAAAACTTCAAAACCTTTTATACAGATTTAATTGGAAAAAAAAAGCTTGTTGAACATAACTGCATTTTGGAAAATGTATTTAAAAGAAGACATAAGGATAAGAATGGAAAGAAAGGTACCACGATGAAACATAACATCTCCTAAAAAATTCCACATATCCATTGTAAACTGGACTGGCTCAAAAAGGTTTTAGCACATTTTTAAAGATAAAATTGTTTCACTTGAAATGTTCAAAAAGTGAGGACTCTTCCTACTCACCCTGGCAATATTTGATTTTTTTGGTCTGCCAGACTCCACAAAACTTGGCCCACCTTCATCAGAGTCCTCTGAAATGTCAGGAACACGAAATATCCCATTAATCTCTTAAGGACTCACTTTTTCTGTGGTATGGAACTTTTTTCTCAATAAATTAGGGGCCCAAGAACCCGTTCTAAAAATAAAAATCCAACTAAGAATCCAGTTTGAACAGTTTTACCACACTCTCCCTTATCTGGTCATTTTTAATGACAAGAGAAGGATATATGTGGTAAGAGGGGTTGAAGAAGATAAATTGAGAGTCGCCTGGGCTGGCGGACAGCTAAATCTTCAAATTGCATGCACACTTGCACAGAATGTATTCAGATACATACTTGAATTCTGTCAGTCCAATTCAACTCTAAGTGATTGTTCAGTTGTTTAACTGCTTAATTTCTCGTTCCTCTGTCATCATGCAGCCAAAGCGTCCAATTGCCTTACAAAATCTGGCCTCTTCACTGGTCATTCTTTTGTTTCACAAACGCAGCATTGCAACTTATTCTCTTGCATAGTTCAAATACGCTATCAAATCACTGTGACAATACAGCTTTGTGGAATTTCACTCATATAAAAGCCCAAAACCACTTGTCCTCACTTGCACCTCAAACAACACACAGCACTTATAAACATGCAAACAGGCAGAGTAAATTTTATAAAAACCAAAACCCCCTCCCTATTTTCTCTGGAGCAGCAGCATCTCCTATGGGTTTTTTCACCATAGAACAGTCAATAAATAAGTGAGGTAACCAGGATGCCAAGCAGATAGAGCATAGTTATGCCCCTTGCAATCCACCTAAGAGCCTAACCCATAGAAGACCCAGGGGAATGGGGGGGGGGGGGGGGGGTTGTTGCTCCTTGACCGAGTTCTAAAAATAAACCAGATTAGAAGAAAATAAAATTACCAGAAACAGTGAGATCTGAAATACTGAGGTCTCCTTTATTTTCCTCCTTTTCCTCCTCCTCCTCATCCATAGAAGAGTCTTCCTCATTGAGGCTCTTATCCTCCTGAGCTTTCTTCCTCTGTACCATTGCCAATTTCTTTTCCGTCTCCTGCTGATGAGTGGCCTGTTTGTGGATCTTCTGCACAGCTATCAAAGCCTCAAGGGACTGGATCTGTAAAACAACCAGCTCGTAAATCAGCATTCATTGCCCTTTTTTTAAAAATTGGGAATCAGAAATGTGATTACACGAAGTTAAAGAAAGGAGGAAAACAGGAACCAGAAAAAAGTGACCAAAAAATTACTACAACAACAAAAACAAACAACAAATCAGAAAACAATTCAAGAACAAAGAGAAAAGTATTTGTTTGAGTAAAGAGAATGGAACTTCTCCTATAGTATTAATGAGGTAGGTCACGTTTCTTGTAATAGGGCTCTGTGCCTTGCACTGCTGAAAGATGCGTTCCACAGGTTGGTGAGCTTGTTCATGTCTCACAGTGTCTGGTGTCAGTCAACTTAACAAGAGCAAGTTGACCCTAAAATGATCACTTATATGAGACTTAAACCCACAAAAAACAAACACACAAATCAAGAGCAAGCTCACCTGTAGTTTTCTGTGCTTAGCTTTACGTGCAGCCTCAAATGCTGACATGTAGAGCTTTCCAGTGACTCCATATTTAGAACCTTTCTTCTCTTCTAAGTCTGCCATGTTCAAGTAAGTTCTACAGGCCTGAGAAAAGGGGTAAGAATAACAATGTTGAGGACAAGATGACTTTCATGCATAATACTAAATGTCTTAACAGTCTCTTTTTAAAAATGTTTTCTAGGAAATGGTAAAGTGACTCAATAACAACTAGTTCACACACAGCAAGAAGAGGAAAATAGAATCTTCATGACCGCCTCATTCATCCAATCCAATAAAACAAAGATCATAACCTTTTAAAATCAGGGAACAAAAGCAACTGTTTACGGAAAAGAGAATCATAAAGGTGGTGCAGTTCTTATGTCCCATCTGAGTCCAGAATAGGACAGGTGTGAAAAGGGATGAGTTCATATCTCAAAAAAAGCATCATATACACCCTGTAAGTACATTAAATTCTTCCATTCCTCTGACACAAAATTATGTCCATAGTTCGCTATCCCAGTCAAAAGTGCTGTCTCCCAAAGTCAAAAGTGGTATTTTCCCGTTACCCATATTTTCAAGTTTTCTAGCTTACTCTAAGTACATTATTTTTGGCCTTCCTCTGTCTCTCTTGTTATCTATTTTGTCCAATGAAAGCAAGATGTTCAAGGCATTTATATTGATTATAGAGCCTTGGGAACTGAATTTGTATTTTCCAAACTGTATACATTAATGACCATTCCAAGCTCCCATGAGAAATGCTCTAGATATATTTAAATTATCAAAGAGTGACATCAAAATGTGAACATTTGACCCTAGCCTTCTACCCATGCATGCATAACATACAGTTGAAATTGTCTAAGATGGCCACCCATTGTTAAGGAGTAGAGTGGTCTTCTTAGACAGGTAAACGTCTTGGACAGTGCCATTGCAATACATTTTTTTTAATGCAGGGGGGGGGGGGTGGAAGAGGTCATTTGTACAACTGGTTGTCTAGGAAAAGGGGCAGCTCTAGCAAGTTCAACTGTGTACAAAACCAAGTAAGAGCAAGACCTGTTCCTGGTTGTCTCCCCACTCCTCGAGCTCCCTCTGGTAGTAGTAGAGAGCATTGTCAAACTGCCTCAGGTCAGCGTACGTCTGTGCCACCGACACGTAGATGGCTGCTCTCTCCTCACTGCTCATCAAGTGAGCCCATTCCAACTGAAATTGTCAAAACGCACAACAGGTATGTTCTGAAAACTCTTTTCCTGAACAAGGTCTCATTTGAAGACAATAGATCCATTTTAAAAGTAAAACCGGAAGAGAAATTATGGACCCTCATTCCTCATTGGATTAAGCAGATATAATTTCCTATATTTACACCTTATGAACGTAATTTAGGAGAAAGTCTTCATCAGTTGACTTAAGTTCTACATCTGAATCAGCATTGCAATCATTTCCATAACATTGTCAGTTGTAAACCATTCTCTGCGCCATGCAGCCATTGTGAAGCAGCAATACTACGACATATGATAGAATTTCATTGCTTGCATGGTTATCTTTACCCTTTAGTTCAAAGCGGTGTGTGCCACCTTCTGTAAATTTTTGGCTGCTAAACATTGACAAGTTTAGCTTCGAGAGTTAAAATTGTGTGACCTCATCATATTCTTGAGAATCCTGTATCAACATAATTCAGCTACAGACACAGACGATGTTGAAGAAAACCGAATAACTTCAAAGTTCAGGTACAGTGAATTAGGCAGTAAACAGACCTTAAGGCTACACTACTTCTTAGCACCAAAATCTACAATTACATTATTTTTACTTATTTTTTCTCATTTTCTCCATTCAGGTATTAAAAATATTCAGTTTTGGGAATCATATTCAGTTACATAATCACGGAAAAGGCAAATTAGAGTGAAACCGGGCTATCTGGAGGACCATTTTCACAAGCTAGAAACTCAAAAACCATCCATGTTACCTATGAACTAATTACATATTGGTAATCTGCACACAAATCTTAAGAAAACGACGCTAGCTTTTCTTGAAATAGTAAATATTAATCATTTTATTACTTTTAGAAGACTAGCACAATAGTGATGACAAAAATAATCAAAATAGCAAAAGAAAAAAATTATTTAAAATATTTTTTTTCCAAAATTAGAAAAAGCTAGCATCATTTTTTGGGGGGGGAATTGCAAGATGCACACTTACCCTCCAAATATCATGTCTTTATATTGAACGGTTTTTGAGTTCTTAGCTTTTAAAGCCAAAAAAATGAACATTTTGAGGAAATGAGCAAAAACATCTCAAAATCGCTCTAAAGCATTATATTGGCTCACAATGTTATTAACTTTATGGAGCTTTCTCTTTGAAATAGAGCTTTGGGAGTACTTCCATTCGATTTAGCAAATAATTTTAAAGGGAAGTTTCTCAAAACCCCCAAGACATTGTTTGACCCAAACTGGACCCCAAAAACCCATGTTTGGCCTTAATGATGACAATTCTATATTCTCCATTGGTTTTATTCTAATTGATATAATCTTAAAAAGAAACAGCAGAATCAAAATTTGTATAAAATTCATAGCATTTATAATAAACTCTTCTTATAGCTTTGTAGTGTCACAATATCCCAGATTCAATTACTTACCACATGAATGTAGTGTTCCACGGCCTTATTGTACAATCCGAGCTCTACAAAATTGTCGGCAATAACTTCGTGCAGTTTGCCAAGTTTCCTGTCATCAGACTCTGTTTCGAGATCTTGACAGGCATCCTGAATTTTGTTTACTATGGACAAGATACACATATTAACAAAACTGAGTTGAGAATGCACATATTGTGATAAATGCTTGAACATTTGAACATGGCTTGCTCGTTTCTAAATGGAATGAAATTCAAGATATAATTTTGAAAACAAGACATTGTCATCCGAGAAAAAAACAACAATCTGGTTAAGAGAAAGATCCACTAGAAGGATCTGCTTCCGCCATAATCATCCTACATTTCTGAATGTCTTACTTTTCCCAAGCACAGAAAGGTCATAAATGAGCTGGTGTATTACCCTCTGACTCAACCAAACAAGCAGGAAAAGAAAAGGAGGAAAAAAGAAAGAGAGATTCTATGATAAATCACCAACCTGACTTGAAAACCTTGATTAGCTTGACCTCGTTCACTGCCGAGTCGATTCGCAGCCGATGTGCTTGCTTGAGGCTGTGTTTTGCGGCCAGCAAGTCTCCAGTGCTGACGTGAATCTGAGGAAAGGGAAATTTGATTATATCTGCGGTAATGATATGCAGTGAATTCATTTTGAAGGGTTGAGAAAGGGCTTCTTCGGAGTGAATGGATGAACCCAATACAACACTCATCACTTCGAGCCATCACGTGGATATTCTGTCCTGGGCACTCTGGAGTGAAAGGCAATGAGGAGGCTGATAGGCTGGCAGGCAGTGCCGTGGTTGATGGCGAGGTGAAATTAACAAAGGAGAAGTGTTGAAGACCCTGGAGAAAAAGTTGTGGGATGAAGAAGACAAGGAGACAGCAGAACACCACGCAATCATTAGGAAGCGGGAAATGGGGATACAGAGGGGAGAAGGAAGAAAGGAACGATTATCTGGAAAGGAAAGACGTCGCCATAATCAGACAGCCACCGGAACAATCAGTATGGATACCTTGCGGGCTTTGGTGCTGGGGGGAACTGAGCACTTATGGACCTGTCCGGTGTGCAATGACATTGTTGCCCAGGACAGGTAATACAGGCAATACAGGTAGTGAATTAACAGAATTACAGACATGACATGGTGTTGTTACACAATCCTCTCAACACTAATAGCGGTACCCAAATAGGGACAAACCAGCAATGTCCAAATAGGGACAAATGAAATTTTGACTGGACATTGCAAACACTGTTACAACACAAAGCCAGTTTCAAACAATGATCTGTTGTTTTCTTTCCTATTCTCTCATTGGCCTAGGCCTTCACCAACGACGCAAAGGCATGGGAATTTATTAACACCTTTCTAGACTTTTGTTTGCAGCACTCTCGGCTTTGGAACAACTTAAGTTTTTTCATGGGCAAAGTGGCACTGAGTGACTGCAAGGGCCCTTAGATTAGAAATAGAGGATAATAAAGTTAGACAGCTGCATGTGACATAATGACATAGACTGTCAGGATTTGATCGCTTTTATTCCTTAAACGTTGGAAAAATGGGGATGAATAGGGGTAGTCGAACTGCAAATAGATTGTTTAAAATCAGAATCAGGAGAGTTAACAATTATATTTTCCTGAAATTTTATTACCAAATCCGTAATGAGGGTCAGCCATGATATCATCAGTTTAAAGGAAAAAATGAACTGTCCAAAAACAGTTTTGTCTTTATAAGAGAAAGCGTTCTGCTTAATAAGTGAACCAGGCGATGAACATTAGAACACAAAAACTTTGTTCCAATGGAAAGACAGCAACTGTCGAAACTAGACCAAAGAAAAACAAAATTGTGATGCCGAGAAAGAACTATCATTACAGCACAAAACATTCACCAACAAAACAAACATTTAGGTTTCAACAAGTTTTCCCAATCGACAACATGATGCTTGTCTAAATTAAGCAGCTGACTCTGAAAGACCATAACTTACCAATGCTTTCTGCACAAGTGATTCTCTTTCTCCAACTTTGTTCCGCAGTTTTCGTGACAAACGCAAGGCCACCTCAAGTGAACGAAGCGCCAAACTGTAATTTTCACCTTTCTGGTACATATTGGCCAAGGTCTCTTGGCACATATACAGTTCGTCATCCAGTTTGAACTTTCTGAGGGCAGATTTGAAACATGAACCAGTGAAACAAGAATAATTACTGCCCAAATGGAAGCACAAAAGGGTTCACCTTAATGCCCATTTCAGTGTATTGGAATATGAACTTCAAGTCATTTTAAGGCACAAAATGATAAATTAAATCATTTCACACACCCATAAAGTGAGCTTCTAACATTTCAAACTTGGAAGATTTGCGGTAATCAAACATCCAATTCCCATATCAAATGCTCCCAGTCTTTCTGTCGGGATGTCTCCCACATACCACTGGTTTTCTCTGAAAGGCTTAGTCAAAGCAGCCCGTCTCCTAAACAATCTAAACTGTATCAATAAAAGCGAAAGTTAATTACAACAAATTCTATCTGCAGCAAATTGTGACTATCAGTCGTGCAATTACACAACAGGCTGTTACATTAAAACCCAATAGTATTTTTGGACAGTGCAAACAGTATCAAAGGATGCTGGAAGGGCAAAAGGGGCATGTAAAACAACCGAGTAATGATGGAGTTAATAGAGACTTACTCTGCAATCAACACTGCTCTTTTCATCACATCTCCACTTTGCGCACTTTCTCCCCGGGCATCAAACACTACTCCTGCAACAGAGATAAAGGGATCATTTGAAACAACACATCAATTCATGCTGCACACATTCTCTTCACAAATCTTGAATACCTTGTACGGTATTCATCATCAATGCCTTTCTCACCCTGGATCAGGAAATAGGCCACGAACAAACACTTTCCACCTTTCCCTATCCTGGGCTAGTCGTTTGATGTCACTCCATGTCTTCCCACTTTTCTGTACATCCATTTCCGTGACTCTTCTCCAGGTTCCACGTGGTCTTCCCCTTGATCTTTTACCCAGTGGGTTCCAATCTACCACTTTCCTTGTTATGCAGCTGCTTGACTTCCTGAAAGTGTGTCCAATCCATCGCTAACGTCTTCTTCCCACCTCATCTCTGACTGGGCTGTCTAGTTCTTCTTAATACTTCCTCGTTGGTGATCCTGTCTGTCCATTTGATCCTCAGTAGCTTCCTCAGACACTTGTTTAAGAAAACCTGGATCCTCTTTATGCACGTCTGGGATGCGTTCCACGTCTCACATCCATACAACAAGACTGGCTTCTCATTTGAGTTGAAAATTTTAAGTTTTGTTTGTAATGAGATATCCCTGGTCCTCCAAATCCTGTTCAAAGATATAAATGCAGTCTGTGCCTTTCCAAAGGGGGACTTTATTTCAGCGCCTGTTCCTCCCCCTCTGTCAATTATACTTCCAAGATAGCAGAAGGATTCGACGTCTTCTAGTGCATTTCCTTGAACTGTGACCTGCTCCTTTCGTAGTGCATCTATCCTTAGGACTTTCGACTTTCCGGGGTGGATCCTCAATCCAACAGACTCTGATAGGCTGTTTAAAATTGTTGTCTTTGCTTGCATCTGTTCCAGAGTGTGTGACAGAAGCACCAAGTCATCTGCAAAGTCCAGATCGTCCAACTGTGTCCATGGGGTCCACTGTATGGTATTCATACTAGGAGAAAAACATACATTTATTGTAAGCCTTTTTAAAAAGAAAGAGATAGAAAAGTTAAACAAACATGAATTGATCTGTTTCATCAAAACCTTTAGAGAAGTTATGAAATTTCAATTGTCATTTATCCTCTACTATATTTTTATTCACGTTTTCTTGGTTTACCAACTTCACCTATTAATAACCACAGACCTCAAGGCGAAAATAACCCTCCATCATGACAGCAGCTCAAAACTGAATTAAATCTGTATATCCCACAACAAGGACACTATCTTTCCACTCACCAAGATTCATGTACAACCGGCACTTCATGGCCATGTACTCGGGCAGCTTGAGAGAGTCCTTGACCTTCTCACAGACCTCCAACGCCTGAGCGAACGCACGTTCTGCTTTCTTGCTGGCCCCGGCTGACTGCACGGAATCCTGAGACTCTGCCTGGTGCAGGTACGTGCGGCCAATAGTGGCCCAGGCTCGCTGCTCCTCCAAGTGATTCTGGCATTCTCTGTGATCATAAGAGTAGAAAACAGAAAAGAAAAAAAAGTTTGAGCCTGCAAAACAAAACAAACTTAAAAAAAAAAAAAACACACACACACAAAACAAGGCATATTTTTATTCAAATAATTAGCGTTCATTATTTCCCCCAGACACCTCTTCAGTCGTGAAAACATGTAGGGAGATGTAGACCTGCCACTCTCTGAAATCTAAAAATCAGGATTTTAGAATAAAAAAATCAGGATCTAGTGGAAAAAATCGGGATCAACGGCAAATCAGTCAAAAGGGGCACTGGGGAAGAGGGGGGGGGGGGGGGGGGGCTGGTTCCCTTGTAGGAGGCAAGTATGCAAGACAAAGCTTTTTGAATACTCAAAGACAGCATAATGTACTTGAATTGGAGTTGGATAGACTGGGGGAGCGCAGGGTGCACTAAAGCTGAAACTCTCGTAGTCTTGAAAATAGCTGACACATAACTCTAATCATCCATGAAAAAAGTCAGCGTTTTCATACAGTGACAACGTTTGACTTCCATCGTATATACACTCAAGGCATCCCCCCCCCCCCTGGAAAAAAAGATCGCGTCAAGGTTGTTCATTTATTTTATTTTCTTATTCCTTTCCCCTCAATTAGTATCTGTATCACGGCATCCACTTTAGGCCAAAGTGTCAAAAAAAATACCCCCACCCTCTCCCCTCGGTCGTCCCACACTGGTAAAATCCCGAAACACACCTCGACCAATGCGACCAGTGTGAATGAACTTTGTTGACCCCGACAACCGATGGTCCCCGACACACGCGCTACTCACCACACATACGAGGTCTGTCATGTGATGCGAATGAGCATTTGAAAGTTCCACTGATAGATCTTGATGATGGGCCCGACTAACCAGAACTCAAGACGAAGAATAGATTATTCTTAGGCCCATGTCATAATCGTTAAAGTAATCAGGACACTATCGGAGAATTCTGGGTTATAAAAGCGAAAGTAGATCTTGAGCGTATCCAAGTGGGAACTCAAAATCGATACTACGTCAGTTTTAGTTGAAATAACGTGCGTGAGTCAACTACCAGATTCGGTATAAATGCTTTAGAAAATAGCGTTCCAAGTTCCTGCCGATAAAAAGTCCAATCGGTGCTTCCAGGCAAAAGAGATTGCAGAACTTTTTATTTTTTTTTCTAAGAATCGGACGCAACAGATGCAACGACAAAAAAATCAGGATACTGGTGATCAAAATTGGGAAAATCGGGATGCTTGAGATTTGGGGCAAAAAATCGGGATATCCCGACTAAATCGGGATGAGTGGCAGGTCTGGAGATGCATTAAAAAGTGATTTAATTCTTATTACCTTTCAAAATCAAATGTTCATCAGTCAAGAAAATGCATCTCCTTTCCTTCTCAATGTGCTACAAATGTTATTTTAAAGAAATAAACAGTAAAAACTGAACAGAAAGGAAATGACAACGAATTTATACTGGAAGAAGAATTGCTAGTTAGGAATTTCAACAAAGATAGGAACCTGGCAAGTGTGAGATGTCTCTTTTGGAGGAACAAGGCCTCTGCATAAGCCCCTAGGGAACAGTGGCACTCCCCAATCTTGCGACAAGCGACTGCTTCCCCGATCCTGTCACCGATTGCCTGGCACAGGTGACGTTCTTGCTCGTGCTCCTGTATGGCCTCCTCATACTTCCCTGGGAAATTCAACAGAAAGGAGAGGATGATGGCACTTCAACACTTCCACTTGGGATCTCAACTAATATAACAACTTCATAACAAATTGTTTAAATAACACATTGAAAGAGTTTACATTTTATTACTCTATCATTTGTATGTTTCTTAACCTCAAACTTTCATTGAGCAAAACACAAAAGGCACCTATATTTATGTCCATATCAGTGAACCAAAAAGATAATGTCCTAAAAAAGCAAGGCAGCTTTGCGCTGTGGGGAAATTTGCTGCAAAAGAAAAGCTACCTACTTGATACGCATGCACAACATCGATAACAGTGACATACTAAATAAATAACATCAGATGCGCAAATCAGCTGTACATTAATCTATCAGAAAGTACCAATTTGTAAATCATTATAAAGGTTGTAAAGACTTAAACAAATAAAGGTCAATACTAAACTCAAGTAAAAATAATAGAACCAAGTGATGAACAATATATAATATTTGAGTCATAACATAAAGATCTAAAAGCAGCTCTTGTGGTTTAGAAGTTATGGTGTTCGCCTCTCATTTAATAGGTCCCAGGTAACGAAACCTGACAGTGACAGAACTTTTCTTCTTTAAAATGTTCTCCTTTCACTTCCTTTCTTGCTCTCTTTCAAACCATGTTCTGTCATCTGTTTTTGTCTCCACTTTCTGTCCCCTCTCCCCCTCCCCGTTGCCCCCTCCTCTGAGCTCTTGACTCTTTCTGCAGCCTATCTACTGCTACTCCTTGACTCCTTACTTTCAGCCACACCCCTGGTCTTACGGTAGGTAAGATCTAACACCTAAGCTTCTCGGCTAAGGGAGAAAAATCTTGGATGTCGCGTGTGCAAGTTGCACACATTAAAGGTCCCTTGGTGGTCTTAAATTTAGTAAGAGTAGGCTTCAGCCACCATCTGGGCAAAATTCAAAATTCCTACCAAATTGAAAATGTTTAATGTGTCATATGACCTTATGCTGCTGAGAACGCCGTGAAACACTTACCAAAACCAAAGATGTAGAATTATTAATGTTATCACTTTAACGTCATCACCAAATTTTCTTCACACTTTCATGCAGTTGTAAAGAAAATTAAGTACTCACTCTATGATACCTTATATATTGCTACACTTTTATACTCACCATACTTGGAGTACAGTTCCCCAATACAGTTACAGAGTTCTGCAACATTTCCCAATTTGCCACGAGCTTCTGCTTTTTTCTTGTCTTTCTGATAACCTGTAAAACAGCACAGCAAATACAAACAGTTTAAACATTTTTTTAACAGTAAACCCTAACATTGATGCCCTTCTGAGCCCTGACAGCAACATTGTCAATATGTCCTCGGAACGAAAGTGTCCTGTCCTGGGTGATTCCCAGGTACTTCAGCTCATGCTGTCTGTCTCTATGAGAAAGTGGTCAACACAATTGGAGGCGTAGGATCTTTCACAATACGGTTGTTGAGTGAGCACCAGATGACCTGTGCTTTGTCTGGATTGATGACCGCATTGTATTCCTCACACCAATCTGTGACCTTGTTCAACCTGTCCTGCAGCATCCGTCCAAATGCTGATCCTTATGGCAGTCCTGAGGCACTACTGGGTCTGACATCCATCGCCCACTTCTCAGCACCACATTCCTCTCAAACAGAGCTTCGGAGATCCATTGTATCAACCAGGGGTCAACATCCATTTAAGAGTGAGGCATAAGGTGGCACAGGCAAAGCTGTACTTGAATGTTTTGGGAGACCCGAGGCACCCTTTGCATGACAACCTGAGCAGCATCAAAGGAAACAGGATCAAACGGGGCAGCTCATGGATGGCAGAAGCCGAAGACTCCTTGAGGAAAGTTTGTGGCATCGATGAAATATGCTGTGGAAAGGAGTGGTTTGAACTGAGCCCCAATTGCAGAAGCCTGGCCAACGTTCACATCACTATGGGTCGTGAAAGACGGGAATGTGCTGCTGTCATTAACGACAATGATATACGACAGTTAATTGAGGAGCATTCCAAGCCAGAGGACCCAGTGATCTATACGGATGGATCAGTCAGGAGGGGTGAGAGAAGTGGATGGGGTTTAGTGGTGAACAGTGGGAACAAAAAGGTTCATGGCATGTCAGGGGCCATAGAAAGAACAACTTCAAGCATGAGAATGGAGATTGAGGCCGTAACAAGAGCGCTTGGATAGCTTCATAATACAAGACCAAGAACAACTCATCTCATCATTGTCACGGACTCCCAGAGCATCTTGCGAAGGGTTGAGAAAGGGCTTCTTCGGAGTGAATGGATGAACCCAATACAACACTCATCACTTAGAGCCATCACGTGGATATTCTGTCCTGGGCACTCTGGAGTGAAAGGCAATGAGGAGGCTGATAGGCTGGCAGGCAGTGCCATGGTTGATGTTGTGGTGAAATTTGACAAAGGAGAAGTGTTGAAGACCCTGGAGAAAGAGTTGCGGGATGAAGAAGACAAGGAGACAGCAGAACACCACACAATCATTAGGATGCAGGAAATGGGGATAGAGAGGGGAGAAGGAAGAAAGGAACGATTATCTGGAAAGGATAGACGTTGCCATAATCAGACAACCACCGGAACAATCAGTATGGATACCTTGCGGGCTTTGGTGCTGGGGGGAACTAAGCACTTATGGACCTGTCCGGTGTGCAATGACGTTGTTGCCCAGGACAGGTAATACAGGTAAACCCTAACAGTTAAAAAATTTTTTTACAATGACATGAGTAGGCCTCTAAAAAAGACTCATAAGTTAAAGTAAGAGGAAACAAAACAGTACTACAACTTCATGATGTTTTTATCGTTCATCAGTTTATCATTGGCACAAATTCAACAATACCTGTCTCAATTTACTGTATTTGTACTCTATTTTAAGTCACATGTTAATTCCAGCTCGACAAAAAACTGCACTGTTTACTGGTAAGTTTCAACCGGTGTACACAGTACTGTGGGCAAGAGTGGTGCCAGATGAGTGTTGGTGATTTGGGGAGGGGGGGTGTTAAAGTTAAACTTAACTCATTCGCTACGCTGAGCCGTGGGGGGCGGCGCGGCTGAAGTGCCGTCAGTACGCTAAGCCGCCACCGGCGGCTCGAGAACCGACGTTCAATTTTAGTTTGGTTTCTATTCCAATCCACATATCCATGTTAAAATAAAGGTCATAATATAAAGTTGACTTCCGGGTCAAGCGTTTCCACCGAAAATCGGAAGTTTTGATTCAGTTTTGAAACACAATTTCGAAGTTTATGCGACTTTGTTTTATCGCGAAGCCCAAATTATAGCCCAGACACCAGTCTTAGTACTTTTACACAACAAAATGTATCATTATTTTGCTCACTAAAGAAGTGTAGGACTCTTCTTTATAATATTGATAATACTGGACTCAAATTGCCAGTGCACTGAAATTGAGAAATCAATATTTTTGAGTGCTAGATCTAGGCCTAAATCTAAAGTCAAAATATTTTTTTCTCCCCAAAATCCCTACTTTTTGGTGAATTTACTCAAAAGTACCCCCCAAGACATGTATAGGTTTATTCCAAATGCAATTCTGAATAATTCCATATAAGATACAAGTATTTTTTTCTGTTTGGGATCCTTTTTTCAAAATCATTATAAAATTAATTTTTTTTCAATATCGGAGGTTATGATCCAAATGTACAAATATTATGGAATGTATGTAAATAACTGCTCATTTTTCAATATTTTCCTGTTCTATATACAATTATGGTTATTTTGATGTATAACTTGACTAGATCTAGGTGCAAACATATTTTTTGAGTTTCATCTGAGGTTATAAATTTTTTGTTTTCAAATTTTATCCGCAGCCAATCACAATTGTGTTGCATAATCGCCTCTTACAGGAACCAAAGTTGAAAATTACTCAAATAAACAATACAGATGTATTCTACAAACCATACTGAAAAAGTTGGTATATAATATGTTTATATTTATTTGAATTTATGGCCCCCAAGACCTGTGAACTGCGCACTAGTCATCATCTCATTTCGCCCTCCCGAAAAAAATTCGTCCACAAGCCGAAAATAATACGTAGCTAATGAGTTAACTTACATTTTCATCATCGGTGGAATTTGGGTGGAGGGCCCAAGGAATAAAACATCTAGCCTGCCTAACTAAGTCTTAGCGTTTTAAAGCTTTTAAAACTTATAGCATTTTGTTTGTTTTAAATATATATTATGTTAGCCTAAGTAGGAATGACGACAAGAGAATCAAATTTCCGAAACTGAAAGTAGTGAAAGCAATTATCAAAGAGCAAGCGAAATGCCAGCTTACACTGTAGTCAGTTACTTGAGTTACAGTCACTACTATAAATTTAATAACGTGTAATTGTAATAGATCTAAATTATTATTAATTGCAACTAAAACTTAAATAAATCCATTAAACTGTCATTTTCAGGAACAAGTAGATCTAATAGCCTTATAAGATCTATACGGGGTGCCCAAAATGGGGGATCAGGTCTCGTCGGGGCGGTTAGCTAGCCAGATTGAGGGCGCAAAGCGGCTATCCTGGCATAAGCCAATCACGTCCAACTTGTCGACTCAAAAACGAAAGCATTTGTTTTCAGGAGATGAGTGGGGCGATCGTCCCCAACCCGACCCCCAATGACAAAAAAAAGGCCAATGGGCACCCCCTATATTATATAATATAACATATATATATGAAAGTAGCATTTATCATTTCAAGAATTTGTAGCACAGTGGAACTCGGATTCAACGAGGTCGCAGGGCCTGAACTAAAATCTTGTTGAATCCCGAGTTTTCACTATATAGCGAACATAAGGTTTTGTGTTGATAATTACAGGCACTGAGCAAGTAATGTATAAAAAGAGAAGTAACAAGTGGTGCCTGAAATGCCTGCATATTATGAGCTGTGCAAAAAAAGACCAATTAGTTCAAATGCATGCCTGTGTCATCTCGATTGTTTGCCAAAAAGTTGTGTTGCTGTGTAGAGCCTAGCATACAGCAACTTTTCATTCCATAGACCAGCGCACAATTCATTACGTAGATCTTTGTCAAGACTAGCTTCATTGTAAAATAATGATCAGTTGCCAGGAGGAAAATAAGACAGTGACGCGTTTGTATCTGCGACATTCCACCCCCCGACCGCTGGTGCCCCCCTTCCCCCTCCAATACAGTCACACGTGTGCAAGCCGCCCATCCGACCTCGACATTCGCTAGGCCTAGAGTAGATACATGCACGTGCCAACAACGCGTGTGTTGGTAGGAAAGAAGGCCGCTGATTGGTCGCATGCAATCGGTTAAGTGAATAGTGGTTCACAATGCAGGTGTAATGGATGGTTTTCCGGAAAAGATAAAGTTCGTTGTGGGATTAAAATGAGCGAAGCCACGTCTACGGGGGCTGCTCACCCTGGAAGCCACCTCGTTGAATCCGAGCTTGCTGATTTAATTGCTCATTGAATCCGGGTTATTTTTATTGATTTTAAAGAAGAAAAAAATGGGGAACCCATTTCCTCTCGTTGAATCGGAGTTCACATTGAATTCGAGCTCGTTGAATCCGAGTTCCACTGTAGTAGATCTAGGCTACATTACTTTTTGAACTGTTTTCTGAAGTCACCATGAGAAAGTAGTCGGCCTAGATCTGAGTGAAATCATCATTTTTTTCTTTTTATTACTCAGCAAAATCTCATTAAATTTTGTTGACTCAAGTCTCATTTAATATTGTTAATAATAATAATAATAATAATAGATAGCATTTGTAAAGCGCATATCCCCGCAAAACAGCAGGCTCTATGCAGGTTCAGGTTTGCTAGTCTCAAGTTCAGTTAAAATTCGGGTATTCCACATACAGTTAGCCAGGACAGGATTTTGACAGAACTTAGATCATGACGTATAAGAAAAACATCATCAGTCTTGCGTCAGCCATCCGGTCCAACTGCAGACGGCCATATTTTGCGAGCTAGACTTAATAAGTTAGTTAGACCTAGATGTCACCTGATAGGCTAATTGGAGAAATGCCCCCCCCCCTCCACTCTTTCTTCCATCCACTTACTGGACACACGATGATACATTGTATTTCCCCAGCCACTGGTTTCTTTCTCAGCTAAAATGATAAATAAATCTAGAACTAGATCTATATATTATACAAGATGAACCACGGTAGAACAGTATGTTGATTTAATTCCAATTTTTAAACCCCCTGAGCAGAAATCTTAATTTTCTTAACCAATATTGATGACTATTTTCACATTATTGTCCATATCTGAAATGATTGGAAGGTTTTTTTCTTTCTATAAACTAATTCACTGTACAGAGCCTGAAAAGAGCTTTAATTTGATATATACATAATGCAACCTTGTAGCACAATGTGTTGATTTTATATGAATTTTTTTCCAGTCGGCAGACGTAATAATTTTCACTCAATAATGGCAGGTTTTTGTGCATTAGGGCCCTATTATGGAGTGTTATGAGAGGTTTTAGTAAACAATTTTCATTTGGCCCCGTAGAGCTTGCATTGAGCTTTAATTTGATGCATGTATGATTTAGCCCTGTAGCTTAATTTGTTCACTTGTTGTGATGCTTTTTGCCCGAGGATGTACCAGAGTTCCCCTAATTTTTTTCCAAGAGGCGTTTTTTGCACCAAAGCCCACTTCAGAGGAGTCCAGAAAAGTTACTTATGGTCAGAGAGGTCTGAAAAAAATTCAGCTAAGTCTATGCATGTATTTGTAATGATTGTGTGATTTTCACTAATGAGGAGGCAGTTTTGACTAATTTGGAAGAGGTTAAAATAGGGTTCTGAGCTCTTAATGACAAATTTTGGGGTTTTTTTTCAATTTTTGAAGGCCTATATCTTGGAAACCAGTCATTCTAACATGCTTTTATGTAAAGATATCAATATTTGTGTTGACAGCTCTGGGAAAAACAAAGTTTTCATTGATTTGATCATGCACTTTGTATTTTACATTTTTTTTCGCGATCGGATCCCTTTAAGTTTCCCCCACACTTTTTCTGCCGATCCGATGCCCACCGCCTCATTGATACGCCCCCCCCCCCCCCCACGTTTTCCACTTTCTTTGTTGTAGAAAAAGGTAAAACTGAAGATTAGCAGACCACCTGGCACCTGCATATTATGAGCTGAGACCGATTCGTTCAAATACACAAGCCTTTGTCATCTCGATTGTTTACCAAGAAAAAGTTGTGTTGCTGTGTAGAGCTGAGCATAGGGCAACTTTTGATTCCATAGACCAGCGCACAATTTATTGCGTAGATCTACACCAAGACTAGCTTATTATTGTAATAATGATCAGTTGCCGGGGGAAAAAAGACTGACACGTATGCCACGTTCAACGCCCGGACCGATAGTGCCCCCCTCCCCACTCCCCTCCCTGACACGCACACAACCACACGTGTGCACGCCGCCCATCCGACCCCGACACACGCTAACGAGCCATCTTTAATTGCTTCTGATGACCTCTTGACAAATAAACATTTATTAAAAGCGCTATAACTTTTCAGTCAGGCCGGCCTCAAATTCATCATAAGATAAAAACTCGGCTACTGCTTAAAACGCCATTTTGCCCAAAGCGATCCCGGTCTCTACCCAGCCTGAGGCGAGTCACGAGTGAGGCAGGACAGGAAGCCGGAGTCACGAGTCACAGGAAGTCGGAAGTCGGAAGTGATGTCATGCTGGACAAGAATCAGTCCGAATAACATTTTTTCATGGCCACCTCTATTCTCACCCGGGGTGAGAATAGTGCAGGCGAGTCTTTTGGCTATTCTCACCCGGTGCGCGTTCACCGTTATAGCCTAGATCTAGGCCAACAAATTTTGCGTTCACCCTAAACCACAGAATTCTACACTGTGATAACAGAAAAATTGTAGAATTCTGTGCTGTGAACAAACGTTCCATTACAACTGTAGCCTACTAAAAGCGTACAATTTTGTCTGTGGGCAGTGGAGAGAGAGAGAGAGAAAGAGAGAGAGAGGAGTAGCGCGAGAACTTCCGGTCAAAACAGAATGGCGACCCGCGTAGTTCGGCTCGATTCGAAAAGTTAAATAGCCGTAGCATCTTTATAGACAACCAAATTAATTTACTTTTGTGTTTTAACATCATTTTTTAACTTTGTTTTGGTCAATTTGATCGTCCACACCGATAGACAGTATTCAGAAAGAGACAGAGAGAGAGAGAGAGAGGGGAGGAGTAGATCTTGCGAGAACTTCCGGGCAAAACAAAATGGCGACCCGCGTAGTTCGGCTCGATTCGAACAGTGAAATAGCCATAGCATCTTTGAAGACGATCAAATTAGCTTACTTTTGTGCTATATAACGTAATTTTTTCTTGGCTTTTATCAATTTGATCATCCACACCGATAGACAGTATTCCTAAATGAGGAAAAGCAGGTCTTGTTTAGCACCGGGTGAGAATAGCCTACGCTGGCAAGTCTCACCCGGGGTGAGAGGTAGATCGTTTTTCTATTCTCACCCCGGATGAGAATAGCCACTTCCTTTTTTCATATTCAGCTCGAGTCCGAATAGAGTCAAGTCACTTCGAAACCAAAAGGTGCCTTACTGACTTGCATGTATTTGAACCTGAATAATTACTACTAGATCTAGATCTAGATCTAATGAGACTTGTATACTTAACAGGCTTGAGTCGATAGGGCCAAGACTAGATTCTAGATCTAAGTAGGGCTAGACTGGCAGTCTACTTCGAAGGGCAGGAATGCAACCTCACTGCAAAACATCAACTTCATAAAATTCAGGGGGGCATGCCCCCCTCTACCCTCCACCTCAATATTTTATTAGGTCAGGGGGGGGGGGCTAAACCCCTCTACTATTGACTTTAACGAACGAAACTACAAAATCTCCCGGAATCCACCCACTAGATCTAGAATCTAGATCTAGATCTAGATCTAGATCTATCTTCTGACTTAGGCTTTAGTACTTTAGTAGCCATCAGTTTTCAGTAGATATGAGAAGATTGTCAAGATCCTGTCACGTACGATTCAATTCTTTTACGTCTTCGTCATCCATAGATATTTCTGTCCTCACAACTTGAGCAGAACACAGCTTATATCGGCAAACTCTTCGCCTTGTCGAATAAAAATAAACAATACGTCGGGTTTAAGGCATTCTTGTCAGGCTGTTCAGTGAAATCAGTGGTTTGTTTGGATTGCGCGGTCTGTCACGGAAAGGAAAACTCGTTGGGAGTCAAGAGTAACTGTTCCTGAACCTTTCCTCGTCTTAAAAATATCTCGCTATTTCAGTTTTCAATGTGAGGGCGTGGGGTGTCCTAAAACTCTTTGAAATAGAGAGAATTAGAAGAATTAAAGGTCAAGATGACTTATGACTTCTGCTGTGGTCGATGAGACCAATTCTGGCAGAGAAAAGTTTGTCTCTTTTGAGCATTTAAAAGCTCCACTTCTACTTGTTGTGGATGTGTGCAGCTTGTAGGCCTACTACCTGTAGGCTTCTCTCTTTGTTTCAGCATTTCTTTTCCGTTGAAAAAAAGCCCATTGGAAACATCTCACATTGTAGCCTATACTCTACTTTACTTTTTCCGGCGTGTTGCCATCAGGTGGTATAAGCAAGCGTCTTTCCTTTGTTATTGCATCACCACATTATATAATAGACCTAAATGACGTACGTAGGCCTTATACTTATACACATGTAGCCTATAGGATTACTGTGGCGGTTTCGGTGACAATTCCCCACAACACTACAGACAGTCACGGGAACAGACGCCAACAAATAACTTTTATTTCCTTAAAGACAGAGAGACAGACAAACAGACCGACAGAGGGACTCAGAGAGGGACAGGGGGAAAAAAGAGAAAGCGCGCGAGAGAGAGGGGGGAGAACGGAGAGAGAGAGAGAGAGAGAGAGAGAGAGAGAGAGAGAGAGAGAGAGAGTGTGTGTGTGTGTGTGTGTGTGTGTGTGTGTGTGTGTGTGTGTGTGTGTGCTCTAGTCTGATTTCCCAATTTGTTTTTCAGCTCCTGTAGTTTTACATCTAGTAGTAGTAGTAGACACATTGGCGTTACTGTAGGCGCAAAATGTGCGTTGTTTGTGGGCGAAACCTTTTCCAACGTAATTTGCCCGTAGTCTGCAGACGGGCAGCTTTATATCTATTCTCTTCCCCCAAAGCACATGTATCCTAAGGTATCCCCCCTTCCCCCCCCAAAAAAAACCCTTTAAACACAAAACCCCCAATTTAAATAAAGAAACAGTCAACCCCCGCTAAACCGCCCCCTCTTCCTCCTTAAAATTACACCGCCAGGTTTTGCCAATGCACGAATAAGAACACTTCTTTATAAATTATAAACATACTAATTGCCCTTTAAAACTGCCCGAATTGTGTGTTCCTTACTAAGCTACTAGGTTAACGCAATTTTGCCCCCCCCCCCCCCAACATTGCCATTTAACTTTGCGCCAGAGATAGGCCTACGCACTGAACACACGGCACCCACTCGGAAGCTGCGCAGTGATGATAGTCTTCCGTCTTCCCTTCTCGGTCTCCGATGCAAGACTCTGCGAGCTAGCGCTGATTGTCGTCGATTTATGTCTTAGAAGTTACAACCTCTTTTTTGTCTTGTACATTTTAGCTATAGCATCGACAAGGTTATAATTAAAATTCTAAAGTCTTTGGGTTGCATGCATTAGGGCAAGAAGTCGAAGTCTCTGATGCGGCTGTAGTAGCAGTTGTAGCCCACACTGATTTTTTTCCAATTTGAATTAACGTGTTCACGAATCAGCCCTGAGCCGGGCAGTCGGTGCTTTTAACAGAGGACAGCATTAGATAATCAGAACCCGTTGTTCCACCTGCCCCGTTATAACACCAACTTTATGCTCACCCCAAGATTGGCCGTTATGAGGTGTGGTAATAATTGAAAACCTGTCCCATAAGATTTAAACTTAAATACATTGAAGAAACCAACTCTTATTTTTTAAAAAGTATGCCCGTAAGCCCCCCCCCCCCCCCCCCCCCTCCCTTTCACTTCTTATACCCAACTCTTGACTACCTGTCTGACTGTTTGTTTTGAATTATGGCATACATGTCACTCTTTCAAAGGTTATGCAGAGCCAGGTACATTGCTCTTGTAAGTGAATCATATGTCTGTGTCTCTCTCTCTCCCTCTGTGTGTGTGTGTGTGTGTGTGTGTGTGTGTGTGTGTGTGTGTGTGTGTGTGTGTGTGTGTGTGTGTGTGTGTGTGTGTGTGTGTGTGTTTGAGAGAGTGAAGAGAAAAAGAGAGTGTGTGTATACATTATAATCATAACATTACATGTACTCTATACAGTGCTTCTTGTGCAGTAGCCTATTTGTTAAAATTTGGCTGTGCTTTTGACTTTTGAAACTGGTATCTGTGGCGTAGTTGTTACATGTAGGTGCTTTGTCATCATACACAGAAGACTTGAGTTCAATTCCCGTTTGGAGAGAATTTTTATTGAGTATCTCAGTCTTTCTCCTGGGACGTTGTATTCCTCTCACTCTCTGCCCAAGTTGGCCCTGACAGGCAGGTTTGAAGCCCGCCTTCTACATTCATTGAACTGTGATCTGCGACAGACATCGGCGATCATGGGTTTCCATTCATTCCTTTGCTCGGATGCTCTAAAAAAAAAGCTACGTTTCCCTGATCTTTACCTGTGACCCATTTGTTTAGGTTCCCTAAGTACAATGTACGTGTATGTTGTTCTGGGCCTACCCCTGCCTCGCTTGCCCTCAATTTTGCCAGTGAGATCTAGATGTTCAAGACCCTTATGTCTATTCAGGTGTCCCAAAAACTGCATTTGTCGTTTCCTGATTGTTTTTAACATTGAGCGTCCCGCATGGGCTTCATGAGTACCCTCGAAAAAGTGAAGAAACACATGATGCACAGTATAATCTGCTTATATCGACATGCTTTGGGAAGTGGATTTGATGTCGAAAAAATGTTGATAAATGAAAATATAAAGCCAAAGAGGAAAAACAAGGGGAGGTCAGCGGTAAAAGACAACATTACTTTTTTTCAAAGCTGGTTGCTTCCCTTCATTTTTGAAACCAACAAGAGGCAGAAGGGAGGGGGTTGGAGGTATGGTACATGTACAAAGAATCAAGCAGCGCGAGGCACACTACATACCAGCGCAAACTTTGTTGTAGCATCCCTGTAAGGCCTGTTTATGGTCGCTTGCTCGAGAAAATGTAAAGGTGAGGCACTGACTCGCTGACCGTGGCACTTGCCAAGGACAGACTGAGCTTGAGAATGGGATAGGGAAGAGGAGTGAGCGATTGGGAGTGGGGGTAGAGAAGTGATGCCCAGTGTCCAAGACGCTCACGTCTGTGAGGCACTATACTGTGTTGGAGACTACACTGTGTAGGCTCTACATGACCTATTAGTATTAAAGCCTGGTGTGTCGAATATAGGCTACTTGGCGGGTATGCGGACGTAATGAAGAACTAATGGGCTGACCATATGCGTGGCTTTGTCCCCTATTTATGTTCGTGGGCTTCACCAGGTACCTAGGAAGCATGTCGATAAAGTAGAGTGGGCCGAAAAAAAGGCGATATAAGAGAAATTGTTTAGTGAAGATATTGAAAGAAAAATTATGTCGATGTCAAAATGCTGATAAATCGGACGTCGATATAAGTGGATTATACTGTATGCAGACTGGCGAGAGGCAGTACAAAACAGCAGACTCACAAGGATTGTATGGATCTTTAGCCCTGTTCATGCAGGAGTTCAAGGCAATGAACGTGCTGATAAGCTAGCCGGCCAGGCTGAGATTAGCGGCACCATGCAATTAGATCCACCAACAGTCATGGCAGCATTGACAGCATGGTTCAACGACAACAGAGAGGATGAAGGCACCACTTCACACACAATGGATAGACTAAGGGAAGCTGGTGTCTCTAGAGGGACGGGGAGAGACAGCAACCTGTGTGGAAAAACCAGAAGAATATCTAACCAGCTGTTAACAGGCACGATCAGCAGGCAGACCCTTTCATAGATCCTGGAGAGGGAGGAGCAGCTATGGCATTGTGCCGCCTGCAATGATGCCTATTCTCCAACCAAGTAAGTAACCAACCCTTTCCATCTCCTTATATATTAATAGGTGTATGAGAATGTTTTCAGTAACAGACAAACAAAAAATAAAAAACATTTTTTTGGGTAATCACTGAAATCGTTGAGCACACTGATGGATACGCAAAAGGGTACATGTGGACTTTTTTAACAGTCAGTACAAAGATCTGACCCTTTGTTTTTGTTTGATAGGTGTTTTATTACGCCATTGTTGACTCATTTCTGGTCATGCAAGTGACATGATCTGATCCTAATGGACAACAAGTCACCCTCTAGAAAAATAGTTACGGCTGTTCAACGCAGTTGGCTCATAAGAATCAAAATGAGTTTGTCAATTTAGTTTTAATTTTAGCAAGTTTTACAGTACTTGCAACACAAATATGTCATACAAGTTCCAGAGACTATAGGTGTCAATAGAGAGTATCATTAATATAGAAAAAAAAAGAGGAGAGATGAGACTGATTGATGTTTGATGGGAAAGAAGGAGCAAACCATATCAGAGTGCTCGCCAACCACCTATGTTTGCTGATTTGTCTTAGTGCCATTTTAAATCAGATGAACATAATGAACTCCAGTAGCTGAGGTTAAAAAGGGGTGGGCGTGGGAACACACTCATCATCCTCTTGCACAGAGGCAGCTCCCTACCATAACTTGCTTTAGCCAAAAACGTAGGTTACTATGATTAAGCCGTTTCCCCTCTACATATTACCTTTGAAATTATACAGTTGAACCTACAGTGCAATGGTGAACCGTCCAGGACAATCACTTGTAAAAACAACCACTTCCCAAATAATTAACTTTACTCAGACGACATAAGAAATATTCTTCACACAAAGTTTTTTTTATTCCTTCATCACAATTTCATATTCATACATCTCCAGTCACACTGTACACTGAGCTATACATTTCCAAGACACCCAACGACTGGCAATGTTATCTCGGTGCATCAGCGAGAGAAAATACTTTGGCCGTGAAGTCATCGGAAGCAGTAACAATGAATGACTCGTCTCTGAAAAACAGAAAAAAAGAGATTATAATATACAACATATTTATATAATATAATATGCACAGTGGCTACTGCAGCCATTGTAGAACACTTTTTTTTTTACAGATAGTGATAAGTCATATAAAAGAAAACAACAAAACTCAAACAGAAACAAATGAGTAAAATACGATTGTAAACCGGTTCAGTGGGATGAAAACAAACATTTATGATCTTAGTAAATATTGCATCTGAAGCTACAAGAACACAGTAAAGATTGAATTATGATTATAGAGGAATTTTTAAAGTTCTGAGAGATCTTATACCCAACCATACGTAAACTGGTTAAAAAAATGAGTGACAGTGCACAAAACATCAGCCAAAAAAAAAAAGTATCCTGCATAACAATTCATTGCCTTTTACACTGCAAAGCAATAAGCTGTGTTTTTCTCATTTAAGGTTTGTGTTTCTGCAAGATAATCTTAAGGAGCTGACACACCTCAGCCAGAGGGTTAAAAAAAAAAGGTTGTCTTCAAGAATCATCTTTTACTTCTTCTCTTTTTGTAAGTGTTTTACGGCGCTCACAACTGCATAAGGTCATATGAGTGCGCGGGACACATTACATTTTTCAGTTGGTAGGAAATTTTGAATTTTGCCCGGGTGGCGGCCGAAGCCTACTCTTTTCGATTTTAGACCACCACGGGATCTTTAACGAGCGCAACTTGCACACAGGCCCTCCGAGATTTTTCGCCCTTGTCTTACTTCTTATAAAACAACAGTACCAATGATTGTCTCAGAAGACAATGCTCAATAAATCCATTTTAACAACCACAAAAACTGTATCTTTGTTTCACAGAACTTTCACTTTTACTCAGTTCGGTATTTATTTTAGCTGCAATCTTTACCTGGCTATGTCAAAATCCAAAATGCCTGCAGAGTGACCCTGCCACATCCTCATTAGCTGACCATTGCGTCCATCAAACTGCCGTACGCAGCCATCAAGGCATACAGTGTAGAGAATAGGGGAGGACGCAGACCAGCGGAGCTTCACGATGCCATACTGAGCAAATGGAGGAAAGAGAAGCACATCAACACAATGAGTCTCACAGCAGAGGAAAAAAAAAACAAAAAAAACAAGAGGAAAGACAAAAATAAATTTTGAGTGATAGTGCAGAAGCAATACAAATTATACTAAGCAGCACAAGCTTTATGGAATATAACAGAATTTACAACAATAAAATACATTTCCTTACTGTTAAAAAAACAAACAAACTCAACCTTATCATTGTCACTCATGAACAGATACATTTAATCAAAGGTCTCATAAATCAGCTTAACTAAGAGCGTCATGAGTCAGTTCAATCTTGAACAAAATACAGATATAAATTAGAGGTACAAAGACCACACCCTTTCAACATAATGTAGAGCAACAGTATAATGGTCATATGACAGGGGGGGGGGGGATGTTATCACAGAAAAGAACAAAAAGAATTTCACTGAATTCTAGACAATGACCTATATAGCTAAAGCGATAAACTGTTAGGTAAATGCTAAAAAGATGGCTATAATCACTGGAATAAAAATTGTGATTACCCACATAAAAAAAAAGAAAGAAATAAGGCGGCCTAGAATCTGAGAGAGACAATTACAATCAAAAGCTTTAAACGGGTGTTCTTAAAGTGTACAATAACAATGATGAAAGAAAAAGAAAACAGGCATCACAAACAGAAAAAGAGAAGAATTTAAAAAGTTACAATAAGAAAAAGGAGAGAAGCTTTACACATGTTTCTGAAAGTAAGGCATTTTCTAATCTTTAAAATGGCAAATTAATGACCAGAACAAACAAGACAGTGCTCCAACTGGGTGAATGTATGAGTTATTACTACACTCATAATGAAATGAAGGATGGACAGAAAGAGGAGAAAAGCCTCACCGGATGATCACATCTGTGCCTCACAGACTTGGAGGGCAGGTTCCAAATCTCCAGGTTACCACTCAGAGTGCCAGTGGCCACATACTCATGCCTGGAGAGGAGGTTTTAAAAAAAACAACAACTTCACTCTTAACATTTCACAGCTTGAAGGGCTATTGTTAAAATAAAGACATTTTTAAAATATTAATAAAAGCCCCAGTAAGATGCGATAACCTGAAAGTTTTTAGAAAAAACTTCAGTAAACTAGTGCTCAAGGAAACTACTTAATATGCCAATTAATAAAAGCTTGTTATACATGGTTATTTTACAACAAACAAACATATTGGGTGGTTAAAAGTCCATCCCCTGATGTAAAAGATTCATTACACAAAAACAAAGCCACATAAAGAAATCATGTATCAGGAGCGGGGAAGCAAGTAACAGTATTTATTTTGACTCTATCTTTTCTCTGAAAAAGAAAAAGTCATAAACTTACGCTATAGAAACACTAAAATTTGAAATGAATGTCACCATGGAGACTTCTTGTAGACTCACAGCTGCATTCAGGTAAGGAAGCAACAACTTACGTTTTACAGAACCCCACAGTCTCCACAGAATCCTCATCACCATCAGATTCTGTACACTTGAGAGTGGCTACAACCTGTCCATTGAGCAGAAAGGATATATCCATTGACAATGAGACACAAATATAAAAACAACCTGATCAACATTTCCCTTTTTACATTCTATTAAAACCTCATGAACAAGAATATTTGCACAGAAGACAAAAGTTGGTTCCAAGCTTAGTAAATACTGCCACAAAAGACAGACATGCTGAAATCAATTATAATGATTCAGCTGGAATTAAGACCAACATGCCAGAAATTCTTTTTTTAAACTCGATAAAGAAAACAAAAATCGAGCAACCACAAATACTTTGCAAACAGTAGACCTGCATGTGAGCCTCAACCAGATTGTCTGAAAATTTTGCACAACCCCCCACCCCCACCCCCAAAAGAGCTTTTGTGGGTGTCATAAGAAAGGACTTCCAGTAACGAGCGACCACCCCAACAAACACAACAAAGAAGAGACCTAACCCTGCCCCTACCCCCAAAAAGAACCTGCAACGAGCCTCATGTGAAAAGGCCAGCAAAAGTCCAAAATGAAAAACATTTTAAAAATTAAAAAACCACACTCCAAAACAAACAAGGCGTACAAGGAGCATAATATAATGGCCTACATCTACACATTGCTAGATCTATAATAATAAGGTTTGATACAATAACACAATAGAATTGGAATATGAATCCTCCATATAAATCTAGTAAACTAAATAAAACTAGATCAAGATCTTGTAGAACAAGTGAATTGGAACTAGATTCTAGGAATAGGCCTTGAACTAGAAATCCGCATCCGATTCCGAACAGAGGGGCTCAGCTGAGTCTAGATATTTAGATTCTAAATAAATAAATAATTCATGCACCTGATGAAATGCCTTTTACCAACATTAATATTACAGCACAACCTATGATAGGGTATGACACAATAGAATTGGAATATGAATCCTCCAATGAGGTCTATAATGATCTATATAAATCTAGATCTAGATCTAGATTCTATTATCTAAGTGAGTCGGACTGAAATGAATCCACACGATCTGAACAATTGAATTTGTCAACAAAGCGAAATTCAAAATGGCCGCTCGAGCACAAAACTGAAAGTAGATAATTTAGGTCGTCGTCCTTTTTCGTATTCCCATTTCTACTCAGGTTCTGACAATTATGTCGGAAACGCCGACATCGGCAGTCGGCACGAAAACGAAAGTGCCGACAAAGCCGACGGGAGAAAAGGGGGACGCTGGCAGTCGGCCAGGCCTCGCATTTCGCACATTGACTGATACAGGTGGGCCTAGCGATAGCATCGGCGGCCTCGCGGGTCGCGTCGCGATTGTCGGATTTCAGACGATTGTCGGCAAACATGCAGGTCTAAAACAGATACATTCAGTAAGATGATCTCAACAAACCACACTTTAGCATCAACACCCCCCCCCCACCCTCACACACACACAACTATGAAAACACTATTCAATTATTAAAAAAGAACAATTCAAAGCATCAAACGCAGTGTAAGAAGACAAACAAAAGCCCCCATCCCACTAACAATCAAGTCTTACAACAAGGGACAAATATATACATGAATGAGCACCCTTACCTTTCCATTCACTGTGCTGATTATTTTCACAGTCATGTCTCCAGAGCCAGACATGATCAAGGAACCATCATTGTTGTGATCCATACAAAAAACAGGTTCCTTGTGTCCGTCATGTCCTGGGGATTAGAAAATTCTTCAAAAATAATTGTGTGTGCGTATGTGTGTGTGGGGTGGGGGGGGGGGGGGGGGGGGAGGAGAGGCACCATATATATATGTCACAATGCGGTGGAATCAGGCGTTCTTCAGTTTTTTGGCATATGGAGTTACTGTAATAATCTTAATTAAAGCTTGTTTATTTTTCTTGTTTAAAAAAATCCCATCTATCATGAATAGAAGTTGAAATATGTGTGATACAAAGAGCAGGGGGGCCGCCTGGTGTTAGTGGCAAAACTTGTGAGAAAATGGCCACCAAAGCTTGGTGACTTGCAAAGCTTGAGTGTCCTTGGGAATTGCAAATTTATATTTGTTGTGCCTCTGATCAATGTTATTTTTAAAATAAAATCAACACAGAAATATGGGTTCCTAAATGGACATGAAATATGCTGAGCTAAAAACAGAACAGCTGAAAAAAATTGCCCAACCACGCGTGCCTGATACCGTCACGATGCCACACATATTAAATAATAAATGAGAAAAATGAAATATAGGCAAGGTACATTTTGTATCATGTTTCATTAAGAACAAGTGCATCAAGCTCAATAGAGTAATAGAAAGAAAACAACATATTGGACAATAATGAACTCACAACAACCAAACCTTGCGCTTGGGTTAATCAGAACTTCTGGAAGTAAATAACAACTACTTACACAACATGCACTCAGAAATAAGGCCATGGTCTAGTTACAGAAATGTTTAATTTCTTTTTTCTTGATTTAACTTGTGATCCACTATGCTAGAATGCTCTATTTATTGAGACTTCATGATTCCAAAGGACACAACGTGTAGGTCATAAAACAGCATAAACTGTCAGAGCAGGAAACTAAATAATAAATTCTTCTTTTACGCTTTTCATCTATGGCTCAAATCAAAACTATTCTGGCAAAACGTAACACGTGCTAAAGACTCACCAGATACTGTGAACACCGCTTCAGTAGATTTAAGGTCCCAAACCTTCACTGCTCCATCATCATAGCCAACATAAGCTCTCTTTCCTGTGAAAAAAACCCCCAAGAACACACTCACGTGGAATACAGCACATTCTGCTACATTATCTCATTCCATATCTCATGTTTCATTAATTCCTTTCCTGAACAGAAAAAAGAAAGGAAAAAAAAAAAAAGAGAGAGAGAGAGAGAGTGCAAGAAAAAAAGAAGAGTAGAAGGAATAAAACTGGTACAGCTTATAATAATAATCAACGTATTTTCAACTTTTCTACATTACTTAGCACGATAACAACTACATCCTTACCATCAGGCAAAATGCGTCCACACAATGCCGAAGGCCCATAGCCGACAAATGTCTTGCAGTCACCAGAGGGGATTTTCCACATCCAGACCTGCCCTTCTTTGGTCCCAACAAGAAGAACAGGAGCAGCCTGGTGCCACTGAAGCCACTGACAACACACGAGACAGCACAAGTGAAAAATACTGTGAGACTGAAATTTTAGACTTATATATGATAATGAAGTACGAAATGTAGGTAACAGACTATAATGAAAGCACTTAATGGAAAAATATGTTACTGTTACGGGTTGAAATAGTAAAATAAAATCACAGTAGGTGTAACTTCTCATTGACAGATACAATGATCCAGTTGGAGGGCCAGAATTTTCAAACTTTCGCGACAAGTTATTGTCAGAATGCTAAGATATAGCCTAAACATACGAAATTGGTTTAAGGGAATGTGACTCATTGTCAAACATGGAGAAAACCTGCATACCACAAGTTTTAATAGCCCTTTTTTTCACACGTCTCTATCATCAAACGATGCAAAAAACTTTGCAAGTAGAAATATGATTATTTCAGCCATCAAATCCTCATGGAACAAGCTTTTTTTATATATCTAAGAACAACTTACCAATTTATGTTCTCTTTAAAGTTTATTGTGATTGGCTGTTTTCAAAGAAATGATAAAAGTTTAAACTTGTCGTAATGGGTGAACATTACTTTCAGCTAAAGTATAAACAATGGTGGATCTTTTCAGCCTGAAACTTACCACAAGTATTCATGTCAATCTTTATATTATAGAAATAGGAAAACTTAAGCAGCAAACAATCAATGTTTAGCATGATGTTAATTCAATTGTAGGTGATTGACAACTGTCCAAATTTTATCAAAAGATGCCATGCTTAACTTCAAGGTTCTTAGATTACAAAGCCCTTCTGTCTGTATCCTTTTCGTGTCGGGTATAATAAGTTATAAATGCATTGTAATGAAGTTTTAAGTTTTAACTACAGACTTCACAACAGCAAACGTTGACCACAGTAATGCACATTACCCCAAAACATCAACAACAAATTTTTAAAATTAGTAGCTTGCTTCATAGTGTAAGAATTAAAAACAATCCAGATCACTTACTTCAATATCAGAGACCTCAAAAGACCAGACTTCAGTGCCAGTTTCCACCTTCCACACCTTTATCATACCCTTCATGTCAGCTGTAGCCACAAATGAGCCGTCAAAACTGAATCCTACGCTGACAACAGTGTCTGTGTGGCCTGTCATTACCCAAAAAATTTCAACTTTGATTTCTGTTCATGGATCAGTAATAAACATGAGAAAACAGACAAACAGGTAATGAAGTCTCTTTTCGTTTTTAGTTTTAGTAAGAGTTTTACGGCACTTGCAACACAATAAGGTCATATAAGTGCCAAAGGACCTCTTTTCAATGTGGTTTTGAAATATAAAGAAAAGAAAAGAAAATTTTCAGTTTTAAATAAGCAAGCAAGGTAATCTATAATAAACAAAGATAACTGCATAAGAGAGCATATATTTTAAAAAAGCATTGATCCTTTCAAATGTCTTCACACACTCCTACATGATGCACACACACAAACAAACACTGTCTCACACACACATACCAGTGCACTGGAACATAACTGATCCATCACGACTGTTCCAAACCAAGGCTTGGTCATCTTGTCCTCCTGTGATGACTAAATGACTGTTGACTGGGCTGATCTCAGTACAAATTACTGGAAATAAAACCAAAAAACCCAAACAAACTGCATGAAAAAGGAATCGAATACATATACGTATTGTATTATAATAGTCAGTATTATAGCCCTGGAAACAACTTACAACATGCATCAAACATGAGTAACAAAATAGAGATAATATTTTTACATTAAAAATAGAATTGACACAAAATTGAAGTACAGATATATTTTTACAAACACACAGATGGGCACACCATGCCACTGACAAAGATGTCTTCAAATTAAGTTCCGTAGTTTAGTTGCATGTCAAAAATGTCTTATTAGGGAAATTACTTAATTCAAGCAGCAGATAGCCCTATAGAGCTGGCAATGCCATCTAAAACTTCTACAAACTCTCTATATTCATATTTACTATAGTTAGTAACATCTCCACTTATACTAAGACGGCTTGATGTTAGCATCCCATTCAACATGTAATACTGAAGTAAGTAATATAGTTTTTATGACTTCCTTCTGCTACTTCACTTTGAAATGAGACATCTTCAAGAATATTGTAAACCTGAGAGCACCAAAAAAGTGTTAACAATAACTCTACTTCTACATGGACTGGTGAAAGAACAGTTCAGAAAATCAACCTGCATCATTGTGATGACCAAGAAAAGTGAGAGCGGAGTCATCCTGCACGGGTCCAGCAGCTGCTTCATCTGTGTCCATTTCTTCATTCTCATCAGCATCTTCATCTTCAAGAAAAACGAGTAAAATCAATAATAAACCTACGACTAAGATGTGCAGGAGGTACAAATAAAATAAATATTCATTACACAGAAAAAGAAGCGTTAAAACTAGGCATTGAATACTATCAGACATGAGCGTTTTTTCAATACAGCAGTAACTGACATGACCTTTATGCTCCCAAAGAGGTCTTTTGAAGTAATTTAATTTACAATCAATGGATGATGAATGCAAAGAGGAAAGAGCAATTATTATATGAGAGTGACTTGCATGTCTGCTGCCAGAACGTTTGCATGCCTTAGCTTAAGTGGTTTATTTTTATATGTGTCAAACACCATTTTGTACTGACCTCTCGAATAACAAAACTCATTAAGAACAAGCAAAAATTTTTTAATTCCTGTCATGAGCTCTGTAAGTGTGACGTCTGACCCTGATAAATTATGGTATTCTCTGGGTTTGGCCTCAATAGTGTACTGGAATATGTCAACTGACTTAAATACTCAGTATTGATGTTTCTTTTGAAAGAGAGCGAGAGACATAGATGTGCTGCTATTTTTCAGTACAAAATCAGTAATGAAAAAAATTTCACTTGTTTTTATCAAGGGGTGTTTCGGGGGTGGGGGGGAAGCATGTTAAGTAATGGAGGCTATCCTCACCGCGGGTGAGAATAAAACAATCGACCTCTCACCACGCGTGAGACTTGCCAGCCTATTCTCACCCAGTGTAAAATAAGATCTGTTTTTCTTAAATTTCGGAATACTGTCTATCGGTGTGGATGATCAAATAGACAAAAACAAAGAAAAAAGGACGTTATTGCACAAAAGTGAGCTAATTTGGTCGTCTACAAAGATGCTACGGCTATTTCACTTTTCGAATCGACCCGAACTACGCGGGTCACCATTTTGTTTTGCCCGAAAGTTCTCACGCTACTCCTCTCTCTCTCTCTCTCTGCAAGTCTGTCTGTCTGTCTGTCTCTCTCTCTCTCTCTCCCTCTCTCTGTCTGTCTCTCTCTCTCTCTTTCTGTCTCTCTCTCTCTCTCCCCCCCCCCCCTCTCTCACGGGCCAGACAAAATTGCATGCTTTCAACACAAGAGCGCTGGAACGTTTGTTCAAGGTGAACGCTACACTGGTTGGCCTATCATGGTGAGGCACACCGGGTGAGAATAACCAAAAGGCTCGCCTCTCACTAGAATAGAGGTGTCCATGAAGTACAGTCGAACTTGTCCTGACGGCCACTTGTACAAACGACCACTTTCCATTTCTCCCCTTGCGTTTTAATATAAAATTTAACTGTACAACGGGCACCTGTCCGACGAGACCGCAGCCACCATATTTTAACACACAACCCCTATCACACCAAACAAAAACACCTGCTTTGACGGCCAACTTAGTGACTCCATTACGTTTTGTCATAAATTGTGCATTGACCCCTGGCGTTGTGGGCGAGCTGTCATGAATCCAATCACCTGTCGTTGTTAATGTTAGGTAGTCCCTCCAGCCGATCATATTGCGTAAGCCCCTCCCACTGTCGCCTAATAATTAACAAATTTTCAGCTGCTGGTGAGGGAAGTGTGTGATCTCTCATAACCCATATTAGCCATAAGCCCCGCCCAGAACTCATACACAAATCGTAAGTGAGATGAGTGGTAACTGTTTACCCAGTCTTCAAGTGGTGGCGACCCATGAGCTTGTTTTACCATAGCACTCGGTCCTCCTTGTCTGACACATTTCGCTTTTTTGTCACCCTTGCAGTTGCACAAAAAAAGCAGGAACAAAAGAAAAAAAACAAACAAACAGCAAAAACAACAACAACAATATGGCTTTCTTGGGTTGGGACCTCAGAAAGGAATGGTTTGTTTTCTTCATCTTGATCAGTCCTGCCTAAGACAGCCACCTGTCTTATTTATACAGCCATTTTTCTCTTTCAATGGGCATGGGATATGGGTGGCCGTCTTACACAGGTTCAACTGTAAATTAACGGTTAAGAGATACACATAGAGATCAAATCTTCTTTTTGATGTCAAGCGCCATTTGCCGATCAGCGCGATCTTAACTTAAAGATGGCGCAGAACCATATGACGATCCGCAGAAAGCGCAGCCATCTCAAAATGGTCGTGACGCGCCATCACACACAAACAAACGATTTTGCAAAGTTCACAAACAAAACTCCGCAGAATTTATCATTAATATCAAAAATTAAAAAGAAAGGTTCAAGAGGACGCAAGTATCACTTGCCCATACAGCCTTTCTCTTTTGACTTTTTGCATTTCGTTTCTAAGTGCTTTGCTCCCCCTCTCTCTCTTTTTCTTTGCCACTCTCGCCTCTATGTGTGTAAATAAACAATATGTTGTATGTGTTTGTGAGTGTTTCCAAGCGATCGGCAGATGGCGCAATTCTTGCTTGCTTTGCACAATCTTAAGATCGCGCAGCTCTATTCATTTTTGGAAATAATTCGTAGATGGCGCGCCCATCTCGAGATCTGAGATGGCCGCGCTTTCTGCAGATCGTCATATATGGTTCTGCGCCATCTTAAGATCGCGCTGATCGGCATATGGCGCTTGACATTGATACTGTCTCAGACATGGCTGTAGTTATTCGCACAAGGTGTGTAAATACTATGGAATTGTATTCGCACTGGGTGTGCGAATACTATGAAATTTTATTCGCACAGGGTGTGTGAATACTGTGAAATTTTATTCCAACTGGGTGTGTGAATACTATGTGAATACTAGAAATATTATTCGCACAGGGTGTGAGTATACTATGTGAATACTAGAAATATTATTCGCACAGGGTGTGAGTATACTATGAAATTATATTCGCACCGGGTGTGTGAATACTATGAAATTATATTCGAACAGGGTGTGTGAATACAACAAGATATTATTGGCAGAAAGGGAGTTTCAAAAGAAGGATGGAAATTATCCAGATCTAGCATTTCCTCATTTTTCCTTTTTTCATCCTCTTTCGCGTAGGGACAAATATCATGGGATGGATCAAGAAATCTAGATCTAGTCTAGATCTAATTCTAATTGTGCAATGCGATACAAAAAAAAAACTCAACTCAAATTGGAATTCAAGTTGTGTATTGGGTCAATGATAATGACTCAAATTTCTTTTTTCCTTTTTTTCTGTTTTCCCTGCGCTAGAGACTACTAGAGAGAGAGAGAGAGAGAGAGAGAGAGAGAGAGAGAGAGAGAGAGTGAGAGATGAGTGCATGCTTACTTTAACCCTAAATCTGAAACAAGTTAAACTAGATCTGGAAGGACTGCCGTAACTAGCGACCACCCCATCAAACACAATAAAGAAGAGGCCTAGACCTAACCCTAACCCTACCCCTACCCCAAGCCCTCAATTCTGCTCTGTCTCATAGTGGTCGCTCGTTACGGAAGTCCTCCCCTAGATACTAGATCTAGATCATCTAGAATTCTAGATCTAGATTGTAGATCTAGAATCTAGATGTAATATAGATCTACATCTAGATCTAGATCTAGATTTTCTAGATCTAGATATCTATATCTAGATCTAGAAATCTAGTGTCCAGTCGTTTTAACATTTAAAGCCTTTGCCAAAAAAGTGGGATCCCGGGTGTGACAAACGAGGTCCAAAATCAACGTAGTAAAATGTTATCTTTGACTTGATCTAGAATCTAGGTCTAGATTCTAGATCAAGTCCAAACCAACCTGAGAGTCCAGAGTCATCATTTACATTAGAAGGATCCCCTGATCCATCGCCATCGTCATTGAGTTCGATTACTTGAATAACTTCAGACGGATCTATAGTTAAATCCCCCTCTTCTTGTTCGAAGTCAGCCATTCTAAATCCTCAATTTAACTTCACCACAAAAAGTATGACTTAAACTCAAAGACTGTTTTTGCTGTATCACCATGAAGAACACAAAAATAAAAACACACACTTGTACCACAAGAGGCACACTCAGTAGTAGACATACACACACACACGGCCCACGCTACACTTCCGGAAAGATTTTCTACGGTGCCGCAATGGTATTTTTTACCCAATGAATAATTTCGCACATGAGAATCGCTTTGCGTTCAAATTACAAAACATCCTAGCCATTCTACTTAAAATTCCATTTTTTGCCATTGCGTTTATATTTCATTTAGGGTTTTTTTTCAGCCCTAATATTAAGGGACACTATTCTTTAGCCAATGTCGGCAAGAAAAATAAAGAGGAGAAAATTTACTCATGACCATATTTATTGTTCGTAGTTTCTTGAACAAAAGAGTCTTGACCTGTGACCTCCAATGTTTTCAGTTTTCACCCGAACAACAGTGACGAGCAAGGGTGAAACCAGATCCTCTGGAGTGCATTTCGTTAGACTGATTGAATTACCAGTTGATTGCTGCATCTGTGAAGTGTGCTTAGAAATGATCTTGACTCCTTCCACAAAAATAGCCCTAGGGTGGTATGTATTATTTAGTATCGTATTACAATTCCTTCGTAATCGGGGTAGTGAAGAAAGGCGAGGACTACAGACTACGCCTACCCTACTCCTACCTACCCTTCAACTAGCCTTCACCTAGGGTTGGGTCGGGCTCGCAAAATTAGCGTCCGCGAGTACCGAACTACCCGCTGGCATTACCCGCAAACGAGCGGACGGGTAACGAATCGTCTGTTTGCGAGGAGTAGTTCGCTACTCGCTACACATCGGACAGAGACAACAGTTCGTTTAGCGAGCGAGCGGACGGGCGGACCGAGAGACTCCATGCATTCGAGCGGGCGGGCGGACGGACGGAGGGGAACGACTCCTTCCATTGCCTGCAACTTTTAAACCCCCCCCCCCACCCCCCAAAAATAATTTTAAAATCACCCTCCTGCCTCACATTGTAGCTAGGCGTTCATGACGGAAATTTCCGCGCCCCCCCCCCCCCCCCCCCGGCCTTTGAGATAATTGGAACGTACACAGTGAGCCCCACGCATGAGGTGAAAGGTTACACACATAGTACTACGTCACCAGCCTCTCTCACTCCCTGTGGCACAGCTAGTGGTTTGAAACATCAGGCCTAATTAACAAACAATAGACGACGGGTCTAATCTCGCGTCGAGTATCTCATCTGCTAGAGTTCGTCCATTCGCCCGCCCGCCCAGTGAATAAAATTGTGGAGCAGACCCAAAAAACCAACTGACTTCATGCTTGAGGCTTGAGATCCGCAGTCCGCTCGCTGAGAGAGTCAAATTGTGGAGCGGACCCAAAAAACGAACTGTCTTGAGGTTCGCAGTTCGCTCTCATGGCCGTCCGTTACCCGTTCGCTCTGACTGAGTCCATGAGTAACGAACCCGTCCGTCCGCTCGCCCCACCCCTACCTACACCACATGCACTGCTTGGCTTCTGGTCTGATTTAATTTCTGAAGCTCTTTCAGTTTCAGAGATTTTTTACATTATAAACTCTTAATTTACTCTAAGACTTAGTAGGCCTACGTTGTGACTCATTATATTCTATATTATACATCCCTCTCTTTGTTCTTTTTTATTGCTGTGGTAACTATACAATTACGGACTCTTCGGGAGAAGTCGTCCCGGCCTAACTAGCCTACTCCATAAACATTTAATGATCTGTATGTACACAATCTGAAACAAAACCGTAAGTTGCCTTTTTTAAAAAAAGGGGGTGGGGAGGGAGTGCAGGGGGGACTCCCCGCTAAATTCACAAAATAATGGTGGCAGTTTATAGTGCCAAAATATTGTTCTCAGCGCATTAAAAAAAACATAATTCAGAATAGTGCCAAAAATGGATCTAGTCTCAAATAGGTTTGGCAGACACCTCAGTTCAGTTTTTTTAATCGACTTCCGTTTTTGTTTTTGATTTTGTGTTTAAGGAAGAGGCTAGCCGTACTTAATGACACTTGCGATTAAACGTAGAAAGACGCAAATTATTTTTAGGTTCTGCGCCCATCTTATTTGATGTCAGACCAGGATTCCCCTCTGATCACGTGACTACATCTAAGTATAGCCAACCGCATACGGCACCGAAGATGGAAGTGTACGAAAATTGCCATAAAGACGCCTAGAGGATTAGATCTAGATCTAGATCTATCCCCCCCCCCCCCTTCCTGCATTCTTCATCGCTAATATACATTAAAAAACAAACAAGCTTCAAAGAAGCTCTGCAAATTATAATTTATGAAACTGTTGGTCTGTCGGGAGGAGAAAAAGAGAAAAAAAAATAGTCAGGGACCGGAATCGAACCGCTCCTAAAATCATTGCATGACTTCAAACGCAGACACGCTGTCTATTCGGCCATCAGAACTTCCGAGAACGTGGTGTAAATTAAGCGTTATAACATAGACACTTCCATCTTTGGTGCCATCCGGTAGGCTATGATTAGATGTAGTCACGTGATCGGAGAGGAATCCTGGTGTGACGTCAAACAAGATGGACGCCGTACCTAAAAATAGTTTGCGTCTTTCTACGTTTAATCGCATGTCTTAATGACGGCTAGACTGCTAGGATAGACTTGTTGGCTAGCTGTACTTAGAGAGCTGGGCTAGCCGTGCTTATTTTTAATATGATGGCTAGACTGCTCCCCCCTCCCCCCCCCCCCCCCAAAAAAAAATAGGCCTACTGAATTATGAATAAATTATCAGTTTGCTGTAGATTCTACCTAAAGAGAAACCAGGTGCCTTAATGTCAGTGCATGTATTTCAAACCTGAATTATTACTAATGAGACCTGTTTTCTAATGTATAGGGCCTAGGATTACGGCTAGACTGGCAGGCTAGCCGTACATACTCGCTAGCCTGATTCATTGTCTAGCCGTACTTAAGTACAATATCAGGCTAGCCGTACTTATTATTATTGATGGCTGAATTGTAAATGAAATTTTTAGTTTGCAATGCCTAAAGTATTTGTATTTCAAACAAAACTAAAAGGTGCCTCACTGACTTGCATGTATTTTAAACCTGAATAATTACTAGATCTAGATCTAATGAGACCTGTGTACAGTAGTCTCCGCCTAAACGCACGCCATACAAAAGCACGCTCCGCTCAAACGCACGCTTTTGTCATCTGAGGGTTTTTTTACTATATAATTATGACGTTCAAACGCACGGTCACTCCCTCTAAACTCACGCTCCGATCTGAAACACGCCGACAAGTTAAGCTTGGCAAGGGGTAATTTTCACGCCAACCTGCACAGCCTGCATAAGACAAGCCTAGAATTTACTAGAAAATGGGATATTTGGTGAGAGTGCTCCTCATGCTGTACAAAGAGAGTGATGGACAGCGTTTACACACCCTACTACTTTCCACTGACGCATAGGTCTCGGTCTAGGGCTAGTCGGATAAATGTTGGGGCGTAAATGCCGTCGTAAAACACTAGACAGGCCTCTATAGAATTAAAGATTGGGGGAACTGAAATGTTTTTTGATTGGTCACTGGAAATGTATCTTTGAGAGAAGGTTTCTGACTGGTGTTTGAGTTTGAGTGACTGCGTGTAATACAGTGGAGTCCACTTATAACGAGTTAGGAAAAAACGAGAAGTCTGTTATAAAGACACTATTCTAAAACCCCGTTTTTTTCTCTTCTTTACCTTTGTAAATAAAATACTGCTATAGCGCAATCAGACAAACATACGAGTCGGCTATAGCGGAATATTGCTGCTGCTGTGCACAGTGCATAGGCCAAGTATACATAATTAAAAAACCTCGCCAGTTGAGAAACTTGCTGTTGATCTAGCGAAACAAAGAATGGGAGAGCCAATATGTGTCAACAATGAAGGCCGGAGCGATTGAGTAGGGAAGGTGTGGCATGCGCAGACAAGCAGAACGCATCGCTTGATTGGCCAGTGTAAGCCTAGTTTAGATAATCAAGGCCTACCATGCCTCTCACTTCTCCGATGAAGATGGAGAGGTCACAGCAATGTGATGGGTGGAGTGAATGAGTGACGTGCACAAGCTGACGGAATGCAGGCGAGTTAGCCACGAGCCCTTTATTTCTGATCGCCAACGCCGAGCTGTCAGTCAACATCGCTAGATCTAGCACTAGAGAAAGAAACCTGATTCGATTTTTGATCAAGTAAGACCTAAAGGTCATGTTGAAACCACCAAATCATCATCAGGGGAGATATTAAAAGGAAATAAACAGAACCGCAAAATCATAGATTTGGCCTACTTTACAGTTTCCCTTGAATTTATTACTCGATCCCTTATAGCGAGAATCCTGCTATAACGGACATTTTGCTCCGGTCCCCTCCCTCTCGTTGTAATAGGATTCCACTGTATTTAGTTAGAAGTTAGATCTAGGCCTGATACGCGACATGCGTAAATGACGTAAAACACTAGACAGGCCTCTATAGGATTAAAGATTAGCCAAGTAAGCCTAATAAGCTGCGCTCGAAGACCTTATAACGTACTTGTTCAACGAATCACAAGAGAAAATGTTTCTCGAGGATGATTCTGCATAAATTTACGGTCAGAGGTGGTTGCTTGGAAAGCCACGGGGCTGTCCGTTGTCTCTATGACTATGACCAACAGTTTCCTTTTAGGCTATCTGATCCCGACGTTTATAGTGCAAATTCGTTACATTGAGTTTGTCCCCCCCCCCCCATTCAACGCCTTTGTATTCTTAATCCCTGTCGGGGAATCCTTCACAAAACAGTCACGTGTCGTCACATTATCTGCAAAAATGACTCCCTCCTCCAAGGGAGATCACTAGAGTAATAAGGAATTGAGATGACTGTGTCCCTTCCTCCCTTTACTAAGGTTCATGTAAACGCACACTCCGTATAAACACACACTAAGGAGCCATCCCGAGCACCATGCGTTTAGGCGGAGACTACTGTACTCAGCAGGTTTGAGTCAATAAGGCCAAACCTAAATCTAAGTACGGCTAGACTGGCAGTCGTACGGCTAGACTCTCAGGCTAGTCGTACTTAAGTACAGCTAGCCACTTCGTTGTATAAATGTCTATGGAGTTAGGCCCGGACCACTTCTCCAGAACAGTGCCAACTTTTGTATGTTTGTCATTTCATATGGCTGCCATTATTTATACATACAAAGTTTTTTAATTCCGCCCCTCTAATAATTTAGATTATTCTGCCCCCCCCCCCCCCCCCCCCCCCTTAAACTCTCTCCAATAAGCGGAATGGGAGATGGATAGGGTTTTTTTTGGAGGGGGGGGGTATTTAAGTTGGATGCGTAGAGGGGAGGGGCGAGGGGATGGGGGGTATACTGTAACTAGCTCAATTCTATCAGAACTCGATTATTGTAACTCCTTGTTATCTGGAATATCACTGGAGAAAGTTGAAAGACTTCAAACTGTCCAAGACAACGCTGCACGTTTAGTTTTACGGAGAAGAAAGTGAGACTCTGCAAAACCTCTTTTACGGACATTGTTTTGGCTTCCTGTTGAGAAAAGAATCGTGTACAAGTTGGCCACCCTAGGTCACAAATGTTTGAATGATAATGCGCCATCTTATTTATCAATTAAAAAAAGACTGTACTTTCCAACTCACAGTTTAAGGTCATCAGCTGTCAAAACGAAATTTGTTTTACCGTCTCAATGAAATTTAAAACAATGGGTGAAAGGGCATTTGAATACCAAGGCCCCAAGATCTGGAATGGTTTACCAAGTACTTTAAGAAAGGTCAAATCTTTTGATTCATTCAAGTATGTCAGCTGAAGTTGTTTCTGTTTTTAAATTATGAATATTTAGAGTGATTTTTTTTTAGTCAGAACACAATATTGTATGTTACTGTTGTACATTGGCAGTGATTTGTGTAGGCTCTATGTGGTGCTTTTGAACTACATCTTAAGTTAACAACAATGTGGGACAACATTTTTCCCCCTTTTAATAATTAATAAAAAACCCACAGTAACTTCATATTCATCATCATCAATGCGTTTCACCCCTGGCAGGGTATAGGCCACATATACAAGCTCCTTCCATTTATCTCTGTCCTGGGCCATCCTTCCAAGCTCGTTCCAAGTGAGCTTCATCTCTCTTCTGTCCCTTTCCACGCCTCCATGTTTCCTGTGGCCTACCCCTGCCTCATGCTCCTTGTGGGTTCCACTGCAGTGACTGTCTTGTGATGTTTCCGCTGGGCTTTCTTAAGGTGTGTCCCATCCATCGCCACTTTCTTAGTCCTATTTCTATTTCTATATCCTTTTGTCCTGTACTTTCCCACAGCTCTTCATTCTTTCTATCCTGCCACTTAATTCTTAGAATACTCCTCATACATGAATCTGTTGATGAAAGTCTGGACTTTATTCAGTATACTGTCTTTGTTGTCTTCCAAGTTTCGCAGCCGTAGAGGAGCACAGACTTGACGTTGGAGTTAAAGAGTCGAATCTTGGTGCGCAGTGACATGTTGCTTGCTTTCCAGACTTTTGATAATTGATTGAATGTTGACCTTGCCTTGACGGTTCTTGCTTTAACATCTGCCTCGGTTCCACCTTTACCATCGATGACACTTCCAAGGTAGGTAAATGAGTCTTTTTCTTCTAGGGGAGTGTCTTCCACTGTCACAGCAGGGCTTGAAACTTTTCTTAGCTTCACTACTTTTGACTTTCCGGGATGTATACGTAGGCCAACACTCCTTGGTGGGCTGTTGAGTTCCTTGGTCTTTTCTTGCATCTGAGCATGTGTGTGATAGAGCAGTGCAAGGTCATCAGCAAAGTCCAAGTCGTGCAGGATCCCCTGTATTCCATTACGCTTGCCTCTAGTGGCTTCTTTCATGACCCCGTCAATTGCCAGTATGAAGAGAAAAGGGGAGAGCAAGCATTCTTGTCGCACTCCTGTCTGTACCTGGAATGGTTCTGAGAGTTGTCCTTTGTGGAAGACTAGGCAGTTTGTTCCGTCATAGGTCGCCTTCACAAGCTTGACGATTTTGTCAGGTATTCCGAAATGCGGCACGAGTTTCCACAGAGTTTCCCTGTCCTCTTTGTCAAACGCCTTTTCATAATCAATGAAGTTGACCACAAGTGGTGAATTCCATTCAAACGATTGCTCAACAATGATGCGCAGAGTAATGATCTGGTCCACACATGATCGTTTTTTGCGGAATCCTGCCTGGTTTCCTCTGAGCTTCTCATCTGTTACCAGCTTGATTCTCTACAGGAGTATCCTGTTAAAGACTTTCCCAGGTATGGATAGGAGTGTAATGCCTCTGTAGTTGTTACAATTGCTGAGGTCTCCCTTCTTTGGCCCCTTGATTAGGTGGCCTTCCTTCCTGTGGGATGGTATTTCCTCCTTTTCAAATAGAGCATAGAGAATTTCCACTAACGTATCTTTATCTGCCTTTTAAGGGCTACCGGTGGTTTATGGAACTTCCTATTACCCAAAAGGTTTTTGGGTCCCAGTAAGCTCATCACTCTCCTCTGTTACATATGTGTAAAAATACCGGTATGTAAACTCCACTCATGAACCCTATTGCCTATTGTAAAACCTTTTTTTTTCTTTGAATTTACTTTGATCGCTTTCACAGGATAGGGATCATCGCCACAGGCCTGTCTGGATTTGTCTTAGCCAGGGACTCTGTGATCAGCAACAGAAAAGTTCTCATGGAGACCAGGCAGAGAATCAAAGACCAGGCCCAAAGAGAGTCGGTCGAGAAGTACGAACAGCGCAACCTACTGAAACAAGCCCAGCCTTCATCATAGTGATGGTGAACTGTATTTTGCAAGTGCATTTTAATTGATAACGGCATAAAGTGGATATTATGCAGTGAAAAATATGTTGCACTAGTGAAGGAAAGACAGAATCTTGAATGTATCTCTTTAGAATGACAATGACAGTTCATCGCTTTTTGATGTGTTAACTTTGCGTTCAGGATGTGGCCGAGGTAAAACTTGTCTCTGCCACAAATGACCTTCTATCTGAATGCACTGTGACTGTAACGTGGAGTATGAAGTGCTGTCTGTAAACATTAAGCAAGTTAGTTTGTGTATTTATGTGTTTGGATGACACTCAATACTGAGTGTGTGGGCAAATTAAATGAATGCCTGATGGTGGGCCTATTTCTTCATAGGTAAAATACATCAATTTTCAATCATTTCAGTGTGTGTGTTTGACATTGTATATATTATAGCTCATCTATTTTCTGTCAAGCAAAACTTTCTATTTTCTTATTTTAAAAAAGTAACACAGACAGACAGAAAACAACAGAAAGAAAGAAAAAAAACCAGGACCTACCAGTGGTGTTCCCCACCAACCACCTTCAAACTTTCAGAGACTCAGGATCTACTGTTCTCTGACATGTCAAGTACATAGTAGTGTATTCAGAGATAATATAAGAATGTGTTGTTGTTTTTTTTTTACCTACCTGCAAGAAGATACATATAAATGTTACTGTCCCCACGCAGGGTGAATTCCCATGTCTAGGGCTTTCCTGGCTAAATGAAGAGCAGTCGAATTGTCCAAGACAGCTACCCATTGTCGAGGAAAAAGTGATTTCCTAAATTTTACTGTCCCCACACGGGGTGAATTCCCATGTCTAGGGCTTTCCTGGCTAAATGAAGAGCAGTCGAATTGTCCAAGACAGCTACCCATTGTCGAGGAAAAAGTGATTTCCTAAATTTTACTGTCCCCACACGGGGTGAATTCCCATGTCTAGGGCTTTCCTGGCTAAATGAAGAGCAGTTGAATTGTCCAAGACAGCTACCCATTGTCGAGGAAAAAGTGATTTCCTTTTTAAGACAGGTGGACAGACATCGGAGCCATTGAAATAGAAAAAAGGGGGAAAGTGGGAAGTTGTCATTTGTACAGATGATTGTCTTGGTGGACAGGTGACCATTTATTTAGAGCAGGATTTAAAAAAAAAAAGTTTTAGTAGAGGTTTTATGGCGCTCGCAACTGAATAAGGTCATATGAGCGCCAAAGAGCAGGTTTGACTGTATGTTAATTTGTACCCCGGTACGAAGCAAAGTCTTTTGTGGAAATACAGCCTGTAGCAATGTCTTTTCTTTTATACAAGTTAAGTGTAAAGAGTACTCACAAGAGGGGTATTATGATTATTATTAATAAAGTGTACCATACCTTATTTTGTCACAGTTCCCTCTTTGAAACTGATATGAATAGGTAGTGAAAGAAGGAGAGGTTAAAATTTTGTTGTTGGGGATGAGAGTGAGGGGGAAACGAAGAAAAATGCACACCTTAATAATATGTAAATTTATACTATACTATTAAGTCTTAATTTTATATTAATATTAATATTATATCGCAACTATTACATCCTGTACTAATGTTACATTTGAGGGTTCCTGTTCTTTTCACAGAAATTTCACAGGGCACAGCCTGAATTATTACCTCTTGAGAAGGTTTCCTTCAATTTCAAAATAATTCCCATACACCTTGAGTTTCCAAGTGAAAGATTTATTGCTATGAAAATTGTGTCTTACTAAACTTACTTAGACCTGGAGATGTCCTACTAGTAGTTTCTGTTTCCTCAAGTTCCTTTTATAAATTGTATGTTGTTCTGATTTCATTATGATGAGATTGTCTTTGTAATACGTTTTTATCTGAAATAAACATTTTCTTTGTGCAGATACTGGTGGATTCTTTTTACTTTTGGTGCACAGTGCTCAAATAAAATATCTTGTTTGCTGGTTTATTTTAATCTGTACAAGTACAAGAGTACTCACTTGTGTGTAATATTGTTGGGCATGAAGCATGAAGTCTCATGCAAACAGTCAGAATGAGGCTAAAATCACCTTTTGAAGTCCAAAATGTTTTTGAGTAATTTGAGTCTCATTTTGATTTTGATGTTGTTAATTTCATATTTTTGATGTTGAGAAAACGTTCAGGAGGAGGGAAAAGGGGAAAAAAGATAGATCTACGCAATTTCTCATAAAACTTACAACTTATCAGTAAAAATTTACACCTTTCTCGTCTGAGAAAAAAACTCATACTCATAGTCATAGTAACTGTTTTGCTATGCTAGCAATCTACAAAATCATTTGGGACAGGATGGAGTTGGAACTGAGTAGTTTTGTCTGAACGTTCGTTCCTCTTACACAGCTTCATCCCTTGTTATGGAAGAGCACTCAAGAAATTTTAGAACTAGAGTCTAGCTACTAGGTTCCTGTGGAAGCCAGCTACAAGTTCTTCAGTCACGTCTAAGGGATTCATATGTACTGAATGCAATGCCACTTTTATCAGGGGTCCTAAGTCACATTTCTGGTAGTGCAGTCAGGTACCTTCTACTGACCACAGGTTAAAAAATCAGGCGCCGTTCGTCCATAGAGCACGGTCGTACAGTGCAGCCCAAAATGTTTTAATGTTCTGTTAGAAAAGCATCCCCAAACAAAAAATAAAAGAAGTCAGAAACAAACACTAGCCAAATTTTAGTATTATTTCAAAACAAGGTCGTCGCTGGCGCCTTAACTATCATTTCTGTGTTAAAAGCGCCATAAAACATCTACTATGCCATGCCAAAGTCCACACGCTTTACCTAAACATAATAGGATACATTGTATTCAACAGTGGTAACCTGACCTATAAATCGCTCTGTGGGATAACCCAAACGATGACGACACTCGTAGAGAGTTTGGCGGTACATTAATATTTGTAATAAGACGGCACATCTCAAATGTGCACCCACGAAACATAGCCCACAGTAGGCAGTCTAAAAATAAACGCGATAGACTGCACACTATTTTATGCCAAAATGATGTGATCCCCGGAGCAATTCAGCGAAGTGCTCAAGTGAATTGTGATTGGTTCATTGTCTTGCCTCTAGGACTCTGTGATGATGAACCAGAGGGCGGTGAACGTGGCATACTTAACTCACCGTCCTGCGTCCTGTGAGTTGTGCCTTTGGATGGTTTCGTAGTGGAGTAGTGAAACTTATTACATGTGTACTTGAGTGTTCAGTTCCAATGCAGGATGAAGAAACTGATGTTTAGCTAACAAACAGATTTAGTTCTAGAAATCAAAGCGACGATCCATTACAGGTACTATATGCCCAGGGGCGAAGCGTCTATATAATCAAATAATCACTGCTTCCCTTTCTAATTTTGAAACATTGTCGCTGTCAAATTCATCCTTAAAATTAAACCTCATAAATTAAATGTCAAAAGATGTTCGTAATCAACAAATAAAGTGAGGCTGGAATAGAGTTGAAGGGAACATGTGCATGGCAGTCAAAGCTGTTTCATTGCCACATATACCCTGTTCACCCCTTTGGGGCCACAGTTAAAATCAATCACAAGCCCTGATTAAGTAAGCTAACTAACACTGGTCGAGTCTACCTCACAAATGTGAAGGGAACTAACTCTTAATAATCTCTTGACTGCTGCTTGTGCTTGTTTTTTTTCCTCGACTTTTTACCGTCCTATAATCAGATCGTGACCTCGATTATGACACCAGCTCCTGGCCGCGAAAGGCTAACAAAAACAGCCAAATGTGAAATTTAAAAAATAATAATTGTCATGTTCTACCAAAGAGTTAGACTCACTGGTAGATCTATAACATATATATCTAGTACTGACATCTCTGCTTCTTTGCTTTATGTTTATGTATTCACATCTAAAGTTAAGTTTAATTTTAGTGGGAACTGATATTTAATAAGATACTTTCCCGATTATTTTGGCGGTTGAACATACAATATGAATTCCGGATTTTTTTCATTCACAACTCAGAGTCGCCGCCTCGAGTAAGATTCTTGTGTGATATCTACAGGCCATATCTGGTCCCATTTCACTTTGATTTCCCTGTCAAACAAGTCAGTCTTCGCCCCTGTATATGCCCTTGACTATCTTCAACCTGCTATAGATATTGTGCACGCCCACTTTTTATCCCCATGAGCCGCCCCTGAAAAAAATGCATGGTAGGTATACATGATGCAGAGAAATAGAAGCCCAGCTGTCGTCATGTCAACAACAAAAATTCTCTTCACTTATTACAATTACTAATTTGTTTCACGGCACTTGCAACACAATTAGATCGTATGTGCTGAAGTTTAGAGGTAGGCCTATTACATGAGAGTAACAAACAAAAAAAGGAGAGATAAGGACGATAGTTGTTTGATAGGAAAGAAGGAGCAAACCACACCAGAGCACCCACCAAACACCCGCAATAATAATTTGTATTCTTTTTGATGCCTCAAGTTGGATCACTGCCCAATAGGTTCATTACTCACTTCATTACTGTTTCAAAGTTCACAGTATTAATTCAGTCTAGCACACACACACACAAAAGCGAAATCAAATCAGTGGGATGTGGAAATAAGTCCAGCTTTCGCATAGTAAACCATGGGGAGAGAGAATCTTTTTGTTATGCGCAAATTTCTCTTTGAGTGTGCTTTGAATTTAAAAAAGAATAGACATCATGTGACAAAAAAATTTGGACCCTGAAAATCTGTTTGCTATGTGCGTGTTTCGCTATGTGTGTGCGAGACTCTAGACTGTATTATTATTGTTAAGTACCAATTTCGCAATGTAGTGGAACTTGGATTCAACGAAGTCGTCGGGCCTCACCTTAAATTTAATTAAATCCGGGTGTTCTTTATAGGAAACATAAGGTTTTTGTGGCGATAATTACAGGCTCCAAGCAAGTAATGTATAATGTATTTGACTTTCTCAATCAAAAGCAGTTTGGTTTCAAATGAGAGGCATTTTCGTTTCTTTGATGCCATATTGAAGAAATGCAGGACAGTTTCAGGAAAATACACTGATCTCTACCAAACACATACCGGTACTTTGCAAAAGGGCCAATTCATGTCAAATGCATGCCTGTCTATTTATCATCTATACCATACTGTTTGCAGAACATTTAAGCTATGTTTCTGTGTAGAGCCTTGCATACGGCAACGTTTGATTCCACCAGTCTGTCCCCGTAGGATTATGCGATTGTGCGGCCGCGTTTTTTTCGCGTAATTCTGCAACATTTGCATAATTTTGGATTATCCGCGTTTTTTCACGTTTTTTCCCTTTTTTTTTTTTTTTACAAAACAATTATTTATTAATTAATTAACGCCTCGCCATGTGACTAAAGGGACGTAATCACAGTAATAGCTCTCATTTAAGGGAAAAGTTGGTTATTTCCCTTGTTAGAAGATCTTGGTAAGGGTTGTGATTTTGTTCCTTGAGCATGTTCAGTTTTTCAATCCATCAAAAGTTGTTGTTCTCATGTCTGCTGATGTTTCATGTTTGACAGGTGTCCCTGGTTTTAGTAATGTGCCAGCATCAGAGGTCCAGATGTCCTTTTTTAAAAATAATAAATTTTTTGAACATTTTTCTTTCCTTTCTATAGCTGAAAGTTACAGAGATGATTATTTAAAAAAATAAAAATTTTTAAAACTAATGTGTATTGTTTTCTTTTCCAAATTCACAACAAATTGCTGATACTGATATGTTCTGTTTTCAATTTTTCTGTACATAAAACAAGAAAATCATGAAACTTCGTGTTGAAAAAGTGCAAAACATGTCACGAATGGTGTTACAGTAACTTGCATAATTTTTGCATAATTTTGCTTTTTTGGGGGCATAATTTGGCCTTCTAAATTTGCATAATTCTACGGGGACAGCTTTACTACGCAAGGTTCACACTCAAGCGGTTGACTGTACATGTATCAAAAACACAATTACTTAAATAAAGAAGGTAAGAAACGGGACTACAGTGAGGTGTTGAATGTAAGCAAGAGTTGACTTTACCAGGATTCTACTGTGTCTGTTATTACTGATCATTATGCTTAAAACTAAAAGTGAAATTAGTTATCATCAACAAAGGCAGTGTTCATCATTATGTCAAAAATATTTGTTAAAATTGGGGCATCTGCTGAGCTGTCTTACAAATATATGGGTCCTGTTCCAACTTCATGCTCTGTGTCCTCTTCTTCCTACACCTCCATTTCTTCCAGTGTAAAGCCCTGTGCCTCTTCAATGGTATAGCGCACGAGGCTAATGGAGAAGATGATTGAGGAATCTACTCCCAGCCGCATCACCCAATGGATAGGTTCGTTCCTCTGAGACAGATACGCCTGCATCGAGCACGGCAACACAACAAGCAGGCTTCGCCGTTTCGAGCCGGGAGTCCCCCGGGGCAGCGCCCTGTCCCCCACACTGTTCCTTGTCTTCATTGATGATATTGAAGCAGGCCTGCCTGAAGCCGTGAAGACGGGACTCTATGCTGATGACTATACAATATACGCCACCAACGAAGACATAAATCAGGCTGAAAACAGTGTCCAAGCAGCCATAAACTTACTTGAGCAGTGGGCTAAGCAAAACAAGATGGAGATCAGTACGGAGAAAACAGAGTGCACCTTCTTCACCACCAGCACTCACGAGGCCAAGCGAAAACCAGCACTCTCACTCAAAGGCTCCCCCATCACCTTCAACTCCAACCCCACCTTACTTGGGGTCCCACTTGATCGTACTCTATGATCCTCCAACGCCCACATCCAAAATCTTGAGCTAAAACTGTAAAGCAGACTTCGACCATTGAAAGCCCTTACAGGCACCACCTGGGGTGCATCAAGGGAATGCATAAAGCCAATATATTATGCTACTTGTCGGTCAGCTATTGTGCCCCTGCCTACATGCCT